GGGGGGGGGGGGGGGGGGGGGGGGGGACCGTGATGAAACGAGAGAGCCAGGGAAGCGAACATCACGTGATGCTGTTTTCCCCCTATTGTGCAACGCCTTCCAAGCCCTTAACAAGCCGTTTCTCATCGCGACCGAGAGAGGGAGAGAGACCCGAGCATCTCAGGAAAATGTTGTGACACGTGAGCTGGTCTGGGTGGGTAGTCCAGGCCGGTAGTAAAAGTGTGAGTGAGTATAATGGTGACCCAGATTCCCACGACCGACCCACTCACGCCATGCTTCACTGATCTCCCCCCTGGCAAAATCAGTCGGGGGGAGGGAGTGTGTCCTTCGAAAGATTGCAGCCCTTTGGGCGCTAATATCATCTCTCTTATGACAACGTCACGATAATGAAGTCGTTTTCGGAGAAAGTAGCCTCTCATGACGGTGTTGACCGTGATGACTCCCGCGGTGGTCCCATATCCTGGTCTGCCGTTGACTCGTCCTTGCCTCTGCCTTCCTTGCCTCTGGAAGCAAACACGTGGGGAGAGACAGAGAGAGAGAGAAAGAGGCCAGAGCGGGGGAAAACCCTGCTCCTTTGTATGACAGGCCCCCTCTATGGCCTCGGGGGACTCTATGAAAAAGGAGACAGCCGGTTGCTTCGAGAGGAGAAAGTCTCCCGTCTGGATCATTGCTTCGGGTCGCACTCCTTCCCCCTTGGCAGCATCTGCTTCCCACAACCTTGAAATGATCCTCATCAATCCATCGAGAAATCCTGGGATTCCTTTCCTGGGAACGTTCCGTCCGGCGGTTCCAGGAATCCGGTCGACCCACAGCCACTCCTTCCTCTGTCGTCGGTTTGACCTCAATCATGAGGCCATTCCGATTCGTGCATGACATTTACTGCGTCATTTTCAACTACAATAGACTACTCCATCCATGAGGTGCCCGAGTCCATAATTTTGTTATGGTACATGACAAAGACAACGGCAATCGTGAGTCATTATCAAAAAACAATCGATACAAAAGGAAGCTCCGCAAAAATAGGCCCAGTATCAGTCGCGGTATAAACCTCGATTTTGTCGGACACCGAGGAAATTAGAGCGACTTGCAGGGTGTGAAGAACATTCGCAACCGTTAGCCGCTTATCGTGTAATTCCTTTTAAGGTCGATGGTCCAACTGGAAAAGTAAAAAAATCTTGACGGAAGTGCCACTTGCGGTCGTGTCTCGACCTTCATTCGACTCGAACCACAGCGGAAGGCTAAAGGTTCGATTTTACCACAAGGAAAGCGAGCTTCAGTAGCGGGAAACGTTTTCGATGACCGAAACACAAAGGTAAATCATGCTTTGATTTACTGGGGCGGAATCGCTTTTATGACATGAAGCCCGATTGGGAAAGCGACGAGTCGACTTAGGCACGAGGAGGGGGTCTGATTTCGAGACCCCACTATCATCGGGGGAAGCACAGCCAATTAGTTGAGTCGTGAATTCCCCGGGTGTCATTGCCGTGTTTCCACGCTTGCCTTAATCTCGTTGAATGTTGCCATCACAGTGAAACAGGTTGTCCCCGGCATCGGAGACTTCAACGCTGGCATCCTCGGCACGAACGGGTTTCGTCCGTGTTCATATGCATCCGTTGCATTCTTAATTTTGTCTCGTCGGTTGAAGACGCCCCGAGGCGAATGCATGAAACAGCTTTAGATCAACTCATGGATCCATTTATCTCCTCTGTCCGGTGCGGTGCGATGATGAGATTCCCCTCGGACCATCTCCGTTGCGGGCGTTTTCGACCTGCAGCTTCCCCCCGCCGGATCTCATTCATCTTGCCTGTCGGGTTCACTTGTGTAAGCTCGCGTCGGGTCCTGGGAGACAGGTTCTTTCGCAATCCTTTCTCCATGTTCTCATGTCAGGTTTCGGACTAGCCCGAATGCAGTGACGTATGCATACCAATTTTTTCTCTTTCGCTCAGTTTCGTCGTTACCAGTCGATTAGGCGAAAAGAAATTGTGGATCTTCTCCGTTACATTTAAGGGAAGATGAAGAGAAAATGTGGTTTCCATGTGAATCCATGTGAGTCGTTGCAGACTCTCGGTATCATTTTCGTCTTATCGTCGTTCTCACGGCCCAGAGGAAATGAAGATAGGATCTGGAAATGAGCTCAATGTTTTGAAACAAGAAGAGCACAGTTTCCCATGACTGTGCCATGATGCGTGGAGCAGACCCATAAATCCCCCACCGGGTGAGTGTCTGAGCATCATGAGATGATATGAAATTAAAAAATAGATTTTCGTCTCTGGTGTTTATGATGACGCAAATGCGGTAAGAGATCTTCCGTCAAGACGATTGCGCAATTACACTATGGGGAGGGAATTTTTATTGCTTGATTACATCCTCATCCTGTGTTACGGGCGAAAGAGTTTTCCCTCTTTTATTCTTGGGAACCCGAGTCCCATAAAGTATGGAAGCTTCTTTGGCCTGAATACATCAACTGATGTAACAATTAAGCTTTCCGCTAGAATTTCTCTTTTGAGTTTGATGCAGTTACTTTCAATTTCCGTTCCGATTAGTTTTTATTTGACGTCGGGACGTGTTGAAAAATAAACTGGAAAGTCGTAATTAGATACTGCGAATTTTCGCGCTCGGGTTGCCTGTCTGGGAATTTTCCCCCACTTTCCGAAGGCGAACCGCGTGAGTATCGCAATGCTTACGGTCACGTAGTGAGCCTGGGAAATGGTTCGTCTCAAGGTTTTCTCCGCGACGTTTGGGTTTGGCAGGCTCGGTTCATCCTTGTCATGCCAAGTCCTTTCCACGCCCATCTGGTACGGGCATTTATCAATCTCATGGTCGATTTCATAACTTTGAGGGAAATTCCTTTCCCATCCGTTGCCATGCAGAAGCCCAAGGATGCGAAGCTGCGATATGGCATGGGGTTGTTAGTTGTGGTTGTCGGTTGGGGTTGTCGGTTGGGGTTGTCGGTTGAACTTCCACGGGTGACGTTTCCGTCTCACTTCACGTTTGGGTTCCCTTCAGGGGATGGGGGATGCGATGACCGCGGTGAAGGTCGCTTCCGAGGCGCGTTTTTCCCTTATCGGTTTCATCGTTGCTTCCGTTGATTCTGCTGGTGGGGGTCGGGACCGGCTGGTGCCGTCGCGGCCCTCTCGATGAGCTATTGTCGGTTCCGGCGTGAGTTGCAGCTTGGTTGTCGTCTTCGGTTATGAAAAAAAAATTCCATTATTAAAGAAAAGAATAGGTTTTGATTTTATCCCATGAAAGCCGTTTTCTCAGAGTCGTCGGTCAGGGATAACGTGTCGTCTGTCCTTGGGGGACGGGACTTCTTGAGAGGCCATTCCACACCAGTCAATTCCTTGAAAGCGACATTTGACGGCAGCATGTTAAATGGCGTCAACTCAATCACGCGGCCGCGAATGATCCTGTCGTGTTCCATACGTCACTCCTTTATGTCGGACATTTCTTGTCGTCAAGTAATTGACTGGCTGAAAATGGCCTGGAGGCTCTGGGCTTTGAAATGTTCGATTCCATTGAAAGAATCTTCGAGCGAGAAGTTCAAATTTGTAGCGAAGGTCTCTACAATGGGGTTCAAGGACGACAAAGGCTTTTTCTTCCCTATTGTGCTCTGTATAGAGGAAGGGGGGGGGGTGGGTTGCTTCGTGAGTCGTGCCGTCGAGATTGATGCGACCTTTTTTTGCGGTTCTTTCACGCGTAATCTCTTCCCGTTTCGACCGATGTAACTGCGGTCGGCTCAGTCCATCAAGAGACGCTGTTCCCCCGCTAAATAATGGGTTACCTCGACCGTGACATCTTGCACACTAATGGCCATCCCCATTCATCCGGATAAAAGTCAGCGCTCGTTACGGCATTGAGAGTTCGTGTTCAAGGCGGACAATATGTTGCTTGGCCGAAACTTTATGCTGGCACTGAGTATAATTTAAGAGGAATTTCTCATGAAGCTTGATGAGCTCATGGATTCTCTTCTAACCAAGGTTACGGTTTCATCGTGACCTGTGTGACGTAAAGCGTGACGTAACCGTAATGGCTCATCTCGGTGTAATCTAACCAAATACCACAAACTAAGTGAATCTGCGATGGAACGACAGCGTAACGATACGAATAGTCTGTAACGTTACCGACAAGTCAGTAGCCAGTCGCAGTCGTTGTCCATGGTACACTTCCGACGGTCGAAGAAAGAACCCGAGATCCGTGAGCTTCACAACGTTTATGGCTTGTGACACTTATGCCCCTCCAGAGGTTAAAACGTACGTGGGAAAGTGCGTGTAAATTATACAGTCTTGCCTCCAGCCGCATTGTTTGTGCTACCGCGTCAGATCGCTTCCTTCGCGCCAAGGCCGGGTCTTGTTTATCTGGGTGAGAGGTAAAGGTACCTGGGAATTGGGATCGGGGTTTCTCCGTTGACCAGGTTTTTCTTCACGGGTGGTGGATTTCGATCGCGTGATTTTGGGAAATCGATTTGTATCGCCCAATGTCTGCTGCTCTTGACATTGAGTTGTGTGGCATTTCACTTGGCCTACTTCGGCGCATTGATACTTATCGATGGGTTCATGCAGCGGTTCTCTTTTCAAGCGGTTTCGATTTTTTTTTCTTGTCCTACTTGGTTACAAAGACAGGAAGGCCCCAAGACCCTCGTTTGAAATATCACGGAATGAGATGGGATTTCGCGAAGTCTTGCAGTTTTTTCGCATTTCGTAGGCTCTGTCTCTTCCGATACGATCCTCCTAATGAGTGATACGATGCTCGGTTGAGCGATGATGCGAAATGAGCAGAGAAACCCCCTTCACGTGCATATCTCGCAGGCTGCAATCACGGCCAAGAAAAAAAAGAAAGTGAGCACGCAAATAGCGCCGAGAGTGAGGGATCGAAGGAAGCCATCTCCGAGATAGCAAAAAAAAAAAAGGGGGCAATGTTGACAGGTTGATGGGAGGAGGAACTCCGGTTCTGGAGGCATTCCCGGATGATTGGAGGAACTCCGGTTCAGGAGGAATCCCCGATGGAGCGAGAAAGCGCGAGGAGCACGTGAACGGGCCGCTTTGTCCTCGTCCCATTGTGCTTGTGTTGACTGCTGCGGGTGAGACGTACTTCCAGCGGTGGGGTGATGAATCGACTTTCTGGTTCAGTGGAAGTGACAATTATCGAACAATGCTCTCTCTTCGGGAAGCCTTTGACCCTGGAGAAAGCGTGAAGGATCCCTCCCGTGCCCTTTATGGACACGACACGCCGAGTTGCGACACGGACGGGACTTGCGGGTCGAGGTGTCGTCTTGCGGCGACAGGTCGCACCCCGGTCGCACGCCGCGAAACGAACGATCGGATTTGAATAATTCATCGTCGTCTCCGTCGAGGATGGAATAAAAGGCCGGAAAAAGGCCGGATTGCACATCCGAGCCGGATACGTGCCCGAGCCCGTCGAATGGATTTCTTGGGAAAAGCCCGTGGGCGATTCTTCCATTTTCACTCGAGCTTGCCTGGATCCATACGGGCCTTTTTCTTCTTTTCTTCCTTTGTGTCCTTCGTGGCATGAAACGTCAGTTCCAGAAGATTTCTTTTCGTCCGGGCAGAAACATCTCAGCAGGTGGTCCACGCCCTGTGACGCAATGCTTCCGCACCGATCGGCGCACAAAAGGCCAAGGAACGCGGTCGAAGGCCGATTCGATTCGGGGCGATCCCCGCCTCATGCCCTTAGACATCACTCTCTGAGATGCCCTCATGCCCTCAGACATCTGAGTGACCCTCATGCCATAAGAAATCTTTCAGCGTGCAAGGTTGAGTGAAATAAGGGACCTGATTGAGCAGCTCAATGTCCGAGTGCTTTCTTGCTCTTGCCCCTCGGCTTTTTTTTTTTTTTTTTTTTTTTTTTTTGGTCCGGCCCTCCCCCCCCCCCCCCCCCCCCCCCCCCCCCATCGCGAACGAGTTACGACCTGGCATTTACCACTATGATCCCAACGGCGTTCAGAGCGATCTCGACTCCCATGGACTCAATATGGCGCCAGACTCGTTTGTTCGTGGGAATCGATTCTGGGGGGAGAAACTCATTAGGGATGATTATGACTTCATAACTGTAGGTGTCTTACGCTAGATGTCCTGCCGGTGCAATTCCGTTCGCGTCACGGTTACACTCCGGTAAATGGGATTCACGGGAATAATCCACAAGGTCAAAATATGCTCGAGGTATCGTGCGTGTTCCATTTGTTCATTCATGACGAAATTGGATGAGAAAACCGGAAATGAACGAGGCTTACCTTGACCTCGAAGATGACAAAAGTGGCCTTGAGGCATCATAATTTTGCTTTAGAACTCGAAACAATTCGAGGAAAAAATCCCGGTATTGTAAGCAACATAAGGGGGGGGGGGGGAGCGGAGAGCCTTGGGGTCGGTGTAATGAGTGGATTGGTGGTTCCAGTAATGTGCAGGGTGGAATGAGGCTTTTCCTTGGCCGAGCCCCAGTGATTTGCTTCATGTGCGAGAAGGGAAGTCGTTTTTCTTCTTTTTGCCCTCGATGAGGTTCGTTTATCTGGGTCGGGGATCCCGAGGGAAGCCTTGAGATGAAGCGGGTCGAATGGGGAAGCGGCGGCGGGTCGAATGGGGAGGCAGTGGGGCGAATATGGAGGTAGCGGCGTCTTCCTTCGAGTTCTGCGCGAAGGTCGGCTTTTTTGTTCCGGGCGAGATACCATCAGGTTTTTTTTCGGTTTTGTGAGTGTGCTCATCGTTTCAGGCGAGTCTTTCATCCGTGGAGTGCTGTTGGGGCTGGATGATGTCTCAATAGGGGAAGGATCGCAGCTGGTATCGTTTCGTGTCTCTGTGACGACGATGACAGTTTCACTTTCATCCGTTTCGCATGAGAGCCACGCATACGCTTTCGCCGCGTTGCGAGTACGGCCGGGGGGGGCTCGGGGGGTGTGGCCGGGGGGGGGGCACGGGGGACCGGGAGAGGGCCCACTCACAATGGAAAAATCTCCCGCAATGGAATCAGTGCGTGACCTTTGCGTGGGTCTTCCGTGCCTTTTATGGGACGCGTTTGGGTCGTTTTCGGGTGAAAAATTGGAGGCCTCCTTTTATGGGAATTGTTGCACGTCTTCCGCTTCTTTCCCCGTCACGTTCTCCGTCACAGATTTCCTCTGGACCAGTCCTGCCCAAACTCACCGAGGCGAAGGCCATATGGGACGACCTGGAGTGGGCCGCATAAGAAACAAACCCAACATTAGTGTTAATTAGTCGAAAGTCAGTTATTAGTTTGTAGTAATAGGCAACATTTGAAATGGAACCTGGGTTGCATGCTTGATGGTAGCAATGGCCAATCGTCAAGATATAATAAGGAGAAAAAATGTATTTGTCTGTTCCCGTGTAGTTGGACACGCACGACGGTAGGTGTGATATATATACTTTCATGACCAAGCCTAGAATTTGTCGATTCGTATCACGGATAAATGCCGTTGAAAAGTATGAGGGACTAAATCAGAGCTTATTTAATGATTCCCTCTCACGCTCCGTTTCAGCCCGCCACAACTGCAGCACGGACGGCGACTGCTCCAAGACGGAGTTCTGCCTGGGCGGCGTGTGCGTGAACCCGTGCAACGTGCTCAACCCGTGCGAGAGGTCCCTGAGGAACGGGATCTGCGCTGTTGAGGAGCACAGGCCGGTCTGCAGGTGTCCAGATGGGTTCGTCAACATGGGCGTGGAGTGCAAGCCAGGTCTGCCGCATTGTGTTTTTTTTTTTTTTTAAATCAGAATGCGTCGCTTTGTCTCCGATTTCCAACATGGTGACACCGATGCGGAAGCCTCGGTGTCATAATTGCTCGAACGGACGCGATGAACAGTTGCAGATTGGCTTCTCGATAAATCTGGTCCTGGAATGCCAGTTCTCAGGATTATTAGTACAGTGGTATAAGGGGTTGAGATACCTTGTTTCGACCGCCACTAGATGTCTCTCGTGAGGGAGTCAGCGACCTGATACAGGTTGTGACGCCCGTTAAGGAAGACAATCGATGTCCTCGGGAGGGGAAGGGGGGGGGGGGATCCCCACCGTGGAAGCCAGTTTGGAGCCCATAAAGTCCTTGAAAGGAGGGTTGTGTCGAGGCGGGGATAAGAAGCACTCGGGGGTCATTTTTGAGTTTGATTCTTGAATGATGAGGAAATGAAACCCTCCATGGATTTCGTCTTACCGAAGAAATGAGGAGAGGTAGTACATGTCATGAGTAGTCGACGGGGCTCCAGCGAGCATGGTCGTAAATCTTCGTATTTGCTACTTCGCATCTGATTTTTTAAATTATGCAGATGAGGTGAAAGTTTTTATGCAAGTCAAGTTTCCAAGGTAGAATTCTCTGTAGGTTTCCCCCGGATTTCTAAGAAAAAAATGTCGGTCGTGCTCCTCCATCAAAACGAAAGAGCTCATCCGACATCGCAAGGTGGAGCAACCGCGCGTTGTCACCCGAGGCTCTGCATCCCACCCGCTGGGCTCGAGTCCGTTGCCCGGGATCGGAGTGGAGGACGCTCGAACCGCGTCCCCGTTAAGTTGGGCGGTGGAGGAAATGATGAATGGATGCGCAGTCCCCCAGCGTCGGGGGTTGGGACTCGGCCGTGAGGTTGGGGGGTCCGCAGGGGAAGCTCGGAGGCGGATGGAGATGTTCCGAGGTGGATGCGTCGGTGGTGCGCTCCTGTCAGGTTCTGGATGTTCAGGCGTTCCGGTTTTTCTCCCGGAAATGGTCAATATGTAGGACTGGGTGCTGACCTGGAAATCTGAGGATCCCGTGGCGTTTCGGAGAAAAGGTGTATCGTACAAGAAGTGAAACGACATTTTGCATTTCTAGCGGTTCTATCGGAATATTCCATACCTGTTTGGCATCTCCGACCGTGTCAGAGAAAGTGGAATGATTTTCGTTTACACCTTCTCTGACCCCTCTGATCTTGCATAAACGATGGAAATGGAAAGGCTCTTACTTTCATGGAAAATATTCGAACACTCGCCAAAGACCCCAGTCTGTATTGCAAAATATTGGCACAATAAACCCGAATAGACGGAAGCTGGCAAAGAGCCCGCATAATTTTTTTTTGTAAAAAATGTGGCTGTTCCACTTTCATTCACTTCGAGGAAGAGCACGGAAAAGACAAAGGAAGGCAAGTCCGATTTTTACGGCGAATCCTCGACGATAGCGGGAAGTCGATGGGATCAGATCGGGACGTCCTCGTCACGGCTCTGCTCTGGTTCTGAAACGCGACAGAAATTCCTCATTTCTCCCGACGGTGTCGTCTCGTATGGGAAATTCCTGTGCGATGCAGTTACGTTGGGATTGGTGGACTCGTTGCTAATTCGTTTGGTGCAGATTGGCATCGCGGACGTTGGGCCAAGCGGGTTAAAAAAAAAAGGTGATTATGTTGATTGGGAATGGGAGATGAAGATAAAATAAAAAAATATGGCTGGGCCTTTCTCAATTGCAGTGAATCTCGGTGTCATCACAGAGTTCAAAGGTTTCTTTTGATGGAGAAAAAGAAAATTAGGACACGTTACACCCACGAGCTAAAGTTTCTCCTCAATTTAATTCTTCGGTCAAGCCTATTATTACGAGAAAGCCGAGAGTCATTTAGGAAAACTGGGATCGCGACACTCAAGACGGAACCCCACTTAAGATGGGTCGCGAGAGGCCGGGGAACTCGGCACGGGTCAAGTGGGGTCAAGCTTTCCCTTCGCCAGCGAGAAGTCTCTTCACTAGTGAGAGAAGTTGCGCCCGAGGCAGACAAGCAGCCTTTTTGTTCTCGAGCAGGCAATCGTGACATTTGGTACTTGACCTGAGTGAAGAATATGGTAAATAAGGAAATTTATTTATCTCATTAAAAAGCGTTCCTCACGGAGTCGAAGAGAAAGTTTCGCCTTAATTTCCGCGATAACGTTTTTATCCCTTCGGCGTGTGCTCTTTAAACACGTTTATAATATTTACGTGAGTTTTCGCCCTCGAGCGTTCTGATATATGCAGTTTGCACAATTTAAATATTCTTATCACGACATCGACAAGGCCAAGGTGAAAAACTCGCAAAGTGCTGATATTAACCAGCCCTGGCGCGGTCATTTTGGTTTAACGTAACCAAAATTATTTCTTTCTTGTGAACTGTGATTTGGATCATTGAATTCTACTCAACACCTCTCATTTGAAGAATGAATTATCTCTCTTGGACCAGTAGTTAAGGCAGTTCCGAGATTTCCCGAGGGGTTGTACTAACCGTGACGGTCAATCTTTGCAGGGTCGTGTTTCGGTAATGGTAGCAATTAAGGATCTAAAACTTTGAATTTATCAGGATTTCCCATCTGATCGATATTTCCCGTATGCTTATCCAAGGAATGGTTAATGGTAACAGATGGGTAGAGACGTGGGCTGGTTTCGCCCATTGCCGCTGGTCGCAAGCCACCGAGAAGACTTTCCCCGCACTGCCTGCGCTTATCGGGCATCTGCAATGAGATCCGCCTCGTGTAGCGTTTCGTTGGGTGCGATCCCCGGGTGTCTTCCGGAGAGAAAGCACAGTCCAAGCACATCCAGAGGGGGGCGGGATGCGTTGTGTGCTTGGAAGGGAGGGGGCGTGGATGTCAGTGTTGACCTCTGGGATCGAGTTTCTTGCGTCAAGGCAGGTTATTGGTGTGGTCTGGCCAGATGAGGAGGAGGAGGGGGGGGGGAGGGGGTGGCGGTGGCGGTGGCGGTGGCGGAAGTGTGCCCCATATACAGGGTGTCCCAGAAGTCCCGCCCCAATATTGTATATGCCTCTTCCAGGCTTACGTGGCTACGCTCCTAGGACCTTGGCATATATAAATAGCAGAGAACCTTCTCGACTGCTGTAATTAGTTGATTTTAGATGGAAAATGCAATAAAATTAATTGACTCAACTTTTTAAATATTATTATTTATCGCACCAGATACTCACAGAAAAACACCATACACATAACTTTCTGGAATTCAATGTGAGCCACTCAAACTGCAAAACCTCGTACCATCCCTTACCTCATCACCACCATTTCGACTCATATCGACGCCATCTCCGTTGACATGTGCCGTAAAGCCATGGATGATTTCCCTCGTCGATGCCAGCTGTGCCGTGATCAGGAAGGACAGCAGTTTGAGTGGCTCTCACATTGAATTCCCGAAAGTTATGTGTATGGTGTTTTTTTTTTTTTAGTGTTAGGTGTGAAATCTCACCAAGTCACTCAAGTGTCAATCTTGCTTCTATGACTCTTTTAAGTAAGACGCATAGAGCCGAACAATTTTTTAAAGAGGAATGAGCTGATTACCTGCTTTTCCCTCTGTAATTTAATATTTAAAAGCCGGAAGATCGACGCTAGTGTTTTTTTTTTTTCAAACTTTTTAAAATTTATTATCGAATTCAGCCTGAAGTCTTCCATGAGAACAATAGGGGGAACAGGAGGGATGAGGTTTCAGGGATTCTGTCGGCCGAAAGCGGAATGCCGCTTAAGCGCGCCTTAATCGCCTTAATGCACCCTAATCGCGCTGCACCTTGATCTCATTCCGGGGAGAAATTCGCACTTTGGGCTTCGGCTTGTCTGATCGCTTCATCTTTTACATCTCTACGAATCCGAGGTTTTTGGAGACAAAGCAACCGTCTGAGAGAAGTCTTTGAAGCATCAATTATTGTCGTGGCTCGACTTCTTGAGAAATGTAAAATTTACATGATAGAACTAGAAATGAAAACTATTTACAAAGGAATTATTTTGTCTGTTTGGCGTTGTTACTATCTTCTTGTGTTTCCTTCATTTCCTGGGTTACTTATCTAATTAGGCACGCGTTTTTAGGTTTTTAAGGGTGTAAAAAGTAAACAATTGTTTGCGTTCCCCAGTTCGGTGCATGCACAAAGGAAAGCAGCACAGCTACGCAGACAGCGTCTACGAAGAGAACTGCGAGCAGCGATGCACGTGCTCCTCATCGGGCGAGATGGTGTGCAACTCGGACTACACGTGCCTGCCGGGGTTCTTCCGGGTCGGGTCGTACTCACGAGACCCGCTGTGCTTCGAGAACAAGAACGAGCCGTTCGCGGACGAATGTTGCGTGACGGTGGTCTGCGCGGGGCCCAAGGGACAGTCCGGGGCCGAGGACAAGGACAAGGACAAAGGGCAGACCAAGGCGGAAGACAGCAAGGGCTCTTCGGGTTCGTTTTACCTTTCTCTCTCTCTCTCTCTCTCTCTCTCTCTCTCAAGAGTGTGAAAGTTCGGGAAGTCCGGGGAAATGAGCTCGAAAATTATTCCTTTCAGGAAATTACCCCAATTTTCTGAAAGGAAAAGTCGGGGGGAAATGTTCAAAATGATTCCATTAGGAGTACAAATGGGGGGGGGGGGTGTAGGAAGCCCCGAAGGTTTTGTAAAGTACCTGGTAATGTCAAGGAGATTTTTAAAATCAAAATGTTTTGGGGGATTTGGAATTCCTCCTGCCATTCAGGATAGCCCCTTGGTAATCCTGTCAGCGTCAACACCTCCAAGCTTCAGAAAGCTAATCCGACATGCTAATTGAAAAAAAAATTGGCAGGTTTCGTCACAATCCCACAATGCTTCCATTCTAGTCCCTGAGTCACGCGGGTTCAGGGCCGCCGGGATTTCCCAATCGGTTCTTGGGATGGTCGTGATGATGATGATGTTGATGATGATGTTGATGCTGATGATGATGATGGAAAATGAGATCGTATCATGTCTTGCCCTTGAAATTGACCACGTCACGACCCTCGACATTCCGGGTTCTTCTTCGTCGTTGCTGTCATGTCGGCGTAGGGATCGTGCGATGAAAAATGAGGAGAAACGATGGGAAAATGATTATAAATGATTTTAAAATGATTAAAAATGAAATTATTAGTCGCCAAGGATCCCTCGAAATTTCCGTTCCGCCCTCGGTCATGCGACCGTGTCATATTTAGAACTATTTTTGCTTTGAAGACTCGCGAGGAAGCGTTCCAGCGGTTCGTGAAATCGCGACGAGGAAAAAACAGGAAACTTTTTTTTTTTTTTTGCTGAATCAGCCGTTGGCATTCACGGACGATCTCCGCACTCACGCAGAAAATGAAGTGCCGTGAAAAAAAAAAAACACCTCACGAAAACGCGATTGTTTCCACCTCGCGCCATCCGAGAGACTCAGCCCATCCGTGAATTCCAGCTGTTTTGAATATCAATTATGAATATCTGCAAGGTATCCACCACGACATGCTCCAGAGAGAAAGGAAACAAAAGGCCTTGAACGCAGCAAAATTGGTGACCCAACCTCGCAAAAAAAAAGTCGAGCACAATAGATGCATGGGTGGATCTACCCCCCCCCCCCTTTCCAGCCTAAGTAAGGGTAATTATCCGGGACACGTATAATTACAGGATTATTATATGGGTCATGCGAATAAGCGATATATATATTTTTAAATATTAATATCCAGTCCGCGTCTGAAGGAGAGAAAGTTCGTTTCCTTGTTCGAATTCGGGCAATTACATTTCTCGAAGCTTTTGATGCTAGGACCAGTTTTTTATTATTAATTTTTATCATGGCTTGTTATCAGAGAAAATTATGAGAAAGGAGATTAGTTAGTTGAAGGAACAGGAGTTTCTGTTCCGATGCTTTTTTTTTTCCTTTTTCTGATCTTAAAAAAAAAATAGATGGCTTAACCTCTGAAGTCCATCTCGTTTGCTACCATGAAAATGTCCCCACAGATAATGACCCTTACGCTTTGGGGCATGTGAGACACGGAGTTGACCGAACACGTCGTCGTCTTTACCCAATTACAAGAGGTAATGGCAGACTTGACAGAGAATGCTCGGGTCCTCGTGTGCAGCGTCGCGTGCCACAGAAGCGCCGAGCTAATCACCTTCGAAACCAGGAGGAAATGGACGCCTTGGGGCGAATTGCCACACATTTTTTTCTCCTTTTTTTTTTTTTAAGGAAGGCTGAACACGAGGGTCAGTCGTGGGCCTGTTGTGGGCCAATAGTAGGTGTGAAGCCGCCGGGCAGAGCAGCGTATATGTAACGCCCCTCCCTCATTTTTCATATACTTTCTTTGGGTTGACCTTAGGTGACCTCATTTCCGTTCGAGATGAATACAGTCCCGCTGTGGAGAACGATTCCCATGCCAAAAATCAGTCATTAACCCCTAGTCATTTAGGAGAAAGCTCCAGACGGATAAAAACGTAGTACAAATGCAAATTTTGCTTCTTTTTTTGCTACGGGACAGTGCAGATAGCCATCGATTTCACGGCAGCTTCTATACGTAAAAAATGAGAAAGTGTCTGAATGCCAAAATAATTCTGATCTTACATTCAGTGCGTCAAAATGTCCCCAAATATTATTTTCTTATGGACGGTTACGATTGTTTAGGAGGCGATGAAGGAGAGGCGGTAGCGGCTGGAGGCGAAGGAGAGGAACCAGCCAAGAATCCCATGGAACCGTCCGATTCATCATCCACGTCTCCCACCACCCCGACGCCGACCGCCTCCATCTCCCCAGAGGCCTCGAGTCCACTCGAGGCGTCCACCTCCCCGACCGCCCCGTCCGCATCCACCGACGGCGCGTCCACTCCCGCGTCCTCGACGCCCCCGACCTCGACGACCGCCACGACCCCCAAGACCACGACCGCCTCCCCCACGCTGGACATCGTCAGCATCACCCACAACAGCACGACCCTGCGCCTCCCGGGCACCCAAGGCGGCACCCTCTACATGGTCGTCCGCGGCGACTTCGACGGGGAGAACACCCAATGGAACAAGCTCCTCGTCCCCTCCGGAGCCCATTCCTACACCGTCATGCACCTTAGACCCAGCACGGAGTACTTGTTCAGGTGGAACAGCGTGGAATCCACCGCACCCATGGCCACACTCCGCACTCAAGGTAGGAATTCCACTCTTCCAGGTTTTCATTTCGGCTTTTGTCTCGCCTCATCTTCCACGAAGAAAAAAGAAAAGAGCTAGTGGCGTAGTACGCTTTTAATCGCTTCGCGCATAGGTGAGTGATTAAGAGAGTATCATGAGTGCATGATACTTTTTTGCTTCTTCGTATCCGCAGACAATGGATGGCATCTTGGCTCCCCTGGGAGGAAAGTAATTTTTATCGGAACATATTTCATTGTTAAGGTCATGCTTTTAATTATTGCTTCTGCCAGACGTTGAGGTAGGTGGTCGTGATTTCATCATATCGAAAGAAAAAAAATCGAGTAAGAAATGCCCTTTTTTCCCCTCCCCCCTTACTTTACGATGTAAATCTTGCTTTAGAGTTATTTCCAAAATTAATTGAAAGGTGATGTAACCAGCAATTGTCTTCGATAAGATATTAGATTATCAGATAATTGGAGAGGGAAAAATTCCAGGTCCGGAGTTGAAATATTAGACAAGACGTTCGGCCTCATTTGGCTCGCTTTCGGTCATCCGTTCTGCTCATACACGATCGAACGCGTTCATACATGATGAAACTTTGGGGTCGCCACTGTGAGCGCAACGAAGCAACAGGCGGAATTTTGGCGACCAGTCGCTGCCGTTTCCCCCGCTCCTTCCCCGAAAGGAATTGCGCCGCCAATGGCCCGAACTTCGATGAAATATCGGATTTAAGGGAAACCTGGTGAATTAATCGAATCGAAGACGGATACGCCACGCGCCGTGGTCCTTGAAGTCTCGGAAATTCCGGCTTTGCGTCGCCGAAGCCGTCGGCCGTGGCACACAAATCGCTGAACCATTTTCCTGGGCGGCAGGGGGAATCTGCCCTTGAAATGCCATCCGAGATCGGAATCATCCGTCATTCGGTCTTCATCCCCCCCCCCCCTCCCCCGACTTATTTCGTGTTTTCTCCCCTTGGAAGTGCGAGTGACAATCCGGTTTCTCCCGTGTAAACTCGTTCCTCGGCGACCCTCAGTGAATTTAAATCGGGGGAAGAAGCGAAACGCACGACGCAAACCGTTACCACTCGCACGGTGACCCATTTCGGTAAATACGTCGGTAAATACCGTTTCGAGGAAAAGTCGGACATCCCCGCAATGCATGATGAAGGCCCCCCGACCCGATAATAGTCACCCATTGATGCGTCTAATAGTCACCCATTGATGCGTCGTGCCGAAAGAAAAATTGCAGAGGGGAGACCCAATTAGTATTGGCTCTCCGTTCCGCATCTCAAACGAAATGCCGGGATTCGTGAGAGAAAGGAAGACGAATCGGCTCCAGCGAATGCTCCAATTTATATCCATCTGTTCCATCTATATTTCACGGAATTTCTTTTTTTTTTATGCCAACCGAAGAAGTGGAATGACGCAGCCTCGGTCCTGCCGAGTCATCACACGCAGTAACAAACCGATCTTTCCGGTCTCCAACGGCTAAGCCAGTCGAGAGGATCGGTTTAGAGAATCGGTTAGAGAATCGGTTTAGAGGATCGGTTTAGAGAATCAGTTTAGAGGATCGGTTTAGAGGATCGGTTTAGAGGATCGGTTTAGAGGATCGGTTTAGAGGATCGGTTTAGAGGATCGGTTTAGAGGATCGGTTTAGAGGATCGGTTTAGAGGATCGGTTTAGAGGATCGGTCGGGGAACGAGAAGCGAAATGGCATTCCTCGGTTGAACTGAAGAGCCTTAGGGGATTGAAATTATCAATCGCTTCGACCATGGAATCCATCTCTGTCTTTATTGCGTCCCTGAAAATAACTCTTGGCAAGAGCTTATCTCGTCATCTCCAGTCGACGCAGAAGAGATGAAAGAGCTTCATGCAGCAAACCGTCCGGACCGGGACAGTTGAAGTCCCGAGGCCCCAGCCGGGACAGTTGATGTCCCGAGGTCACGGCCTTCCGAGCCTCAACAAGCCCGGGAGATGAAGATGGTAATCGCGCCTTGGGAATCGGAGCTCCTCGTTCCGCGGTGATTATCGTCCATTGCGGGCCTTCGTTTCCGTCACGAAGGCCCCTCGTCACCGTGACCGAGCAGTACTTCTTTTATCCCCCCGCATTCCCTTCTTTTTGTCGTCTTAATTGTTCCCACGGACTTTCGGCGGAGGAATGAAAATTGGGCATCGGGTACGACGTTGGGCATCGCGTGAGAGTCTTTCCCACGTGTCAAGGCGCTCCTTTTCAGAGGGTGATGATGGGCTTAACGATGCTCCTTTTCTTCTCGATGCAAAGCCTCAGGAATGATGTCGCGCTGGCACGTAAGAAGGGTTAAAAGATGGGGTTCGCGAGGTCCTTCATCTCCGGCGACCCAGGATAAGCGAAGATGATCCTTTGAAGATTAGCCTTTGAAGATGAGTGTTTGAAGGTTAGCGTTTGAAGATGAGTGTTTGAAGATGAGTCCGGATTTTCCTTGCGCACGACCGAACGTGACGTCGGGGACGCTGGGAGGTCGTCGGGGACGCGGGGAGGTCGGTGTGGAGCACGATTTTAAGTATCCCGGCGTGGGCAGACTAACCTGATTCCCTTGTCACTATCGCCTTAACATTCCCTTGTGTCCCTCATTTCCCCTTTTGTCCCCGGCGTAATTCCCGTCGGACACGATCGCGGCCCACTTTGGGGCGAAATAGGGTGCCGGAGCGCAACGAGGCCGAACGGCCGGGGAAGAGGATGACACTTTTTCTTCAATTCTTCATTGCTTTGTTGACTCGACTTTTTTTTTTTCCTTCATTGTTTCGTCGAGTTTGTTTTATTGCTTCTTTAGTTTTCTTTGGCTTTGTCGGATGGCGCACGGCGACGACTGGCGCCATTCCTTAGCCCACGAGCAGCATCATTATCGGCATAATCTTGAGCAGCGACCCTCTTTTGCATCTAGGAAGTTTTCCTAACTTAAAAAAAAAAGTTAAAATATTTTATGCAGATATATATATATTTGTTTTTTTATTCATATATTTATTTTATGTATATTTTTATTCCCTAGACGGTTGCGTGGCCGGCGACCTATCCTACGGCCTGGGCCATTCATACCCAGCGGGCGGGTGCGCCAGCATCTGCCGCTGCCTGGCGCCCGGCGGCCGCGTCGAGTGCACCCAGCGCTGCCGCCACGTCCGCGGCCAGATCACCCTGCAGCCCGGCTGCGTCGAGGCGCCCGACCCCGCCGACCCCGAGTGCTGCGTCGTCCAGCAGTGCCACCCGCCCAAAGGTGAGGTCGTCTCTGGGTGACGTTAGTGACGCCAGAAAGTCGTCGCTCCAGCAACTTTTCTGGTGGTGAAGTGCAAATTGTGTGGCAGTTGCCGTCATGACTTATGATGCCATGGCAGTTATCATGATGCCATGGCGATTATCATGATGCCATGGCGATTATCATGATGCCATGGCGATTACCATGATGCCATGGCAGCTATCACGATGTCAGCTGGAGACACCGAGATTAAAGTCCGTGTCGAGCGAGAATGAAGACGAACGTCGTGAAAATTCATGATTGAGAGACTCGTTCAGTATTTAAATCGGAATGTAATGAGATTGCATGTCGCCGCTGATGGATGAGGGTGCTTGCGTCCAGTGTTGCCAAGAAGTTGCTGCCACCGAATGGTTGCGGCGCACCTACGGAAAGATGTAGAATGATGAAAGATGACGACGCCACCAAATTCGTCAGGGTAATTTGATGGGGGGGGGGGTTTTCGCGCCGTCTCTTTAATTTATCTTTTATATTTTTATTTTTCCCTTTTTATTTATTTATTTATTTTCCCCCTTTTTATTTATATATTTTTTCAACAGTCTCAGCGCTTTTCTTGCCTTGCGGCGATAGCCTGTCTTAATCTGTCATCAGTTATCCGAGGTAAACCATCGAAAGCAGCGAAATTCGCTGCCAAATCCGGCAACACTGCTCACACTTCCCCTCCTCACTTCCCCGATCGCGCCGAAGGACGGCGCGACACGTCCCCTATCGCCCGATCTCCCGATCCCGTTGAAACGTGTCAAGCGATGAGGAAAGCCCCGTCCTCGTGCCACCGGTCGCCCCGTCCTCGTGCCACGGATCGCGACGGAGTCAAAGCCGTCAGACCGGTCGGCTTCTGCCTCTACGTCTTTCGCAGTCCTTTCTATATCTCAAGGTCATCTTCAACTGACAAAAAAAAACTTTAAACCACCGAGCGAGTCTAAACTCTAAACCGATTCGCATCCGCCGAATAATCTATGCAGAGAGATAGCCTTCCCCCGCGAAAAAAAGAAGCTCGTAGGCGCGAACGAATAACGCATGTCGAAACAAGTGCAATAATTATTCCTCTCCGTTTTGTCAGAGTATCTCATGCTGATTCACCCGCGAGAGAAAGTACCCTTGAGGTTGGGACTCTGTAAGGCAGCCGATGTTGCCCAACCTGGGGTGACGAAGCATCCTTGGCATTGTCGTGACGCCGTCGTGACGTCGACGGCAGTAGTCACCATGTAACGATGCGGGAATCGCGTCCGTCTTTGTTCCGAGCATCCGCTAATGACATCAGCCACATAATATAATTTTCTAAATATATTTTTATATTTATTATTATTATTTTTTTGTTGTTGCACGTCATCGACGTGCATTGTGTGCACCAAGGTTCCCCCGCCGGAACGGGTCGCAATCCTTCGCATGGCGGTCCGGGGGCGGAGGGTATGTTAGTATGTCACTGAGGGGGCGGAAAATATGTGGAAAAAATACAGGCTTGTTCCGTATTAATGACATCAACCGCGTTTTCCCTAAAAGGGAGGACCGCAAAGAAACCTGGCATATGAAACCAATCTATCTTCGCTTCCAGTTGTCATATTTTTTTATTATTATTATTATTTATAATTATTTATTATTATTATTATTCTTTTCCTGGGAAATACTATATTGAGCCATTCGCGGGGATGGCACGCAGGGCAGGATCCTATCTTAACGACATCACGGCACTCTATGAACCTTTGTTTCTTTTTTACTGTCTGACTAACATGCGGGCCATTGTCTCAGTTCGGGAAGAACAAAAGAGATGTAAACGGAATTGACCTGTCGTGTCAGGGCCATCAATTCCCTCCACGACGAAGGGCGAGATCCGCCCTGTGAGCCCCACATGCGTCTTGTGGGCCCCATAGAGGGGCTGCTTCATTCACGCGAGAGCTATGCGCGTTATCGTAGCATTTCGCGATATCGTCGCGTACAGACGAGCGATGCCGAAAAGCGGGTTTAGTCGTCCACACCCAAATGCAACCCGTTGAACTACTTTTTGCTTCCCCGGAAGCAGACCTCGGAGCTGAGGAGGCGCGGAGCATCTCGACGCCGCCGGAGACCCCGCCGTCAGACGCCTCCTCCACGTCGACGCCCACCGCCGCGACCTCCAAGCCCACCGCCACCGCCTCCACCCCGTCCCCCGACGGCAACTCCGAGCTCCGGCCGAAGCTGATCGTGACGGAGCGGACGCAGGACAGCGTGAGCCTCGCCTGGGACGACTTCAGTCCCCCGTCGTACTCGCACGGGTACGTGGTCCAGTACCGACAGGCGAACGCGACGCAGGGGCGGACGTGGCAGCCGCTGCCGGTCACGGGGCAGTTGCCGCATGCGACCATCCGGAGTCTCGTCCCCAGCACTACCTATCAGGTCCGGGTCTCCATTTACGACGACTTCGACTCCAACACCTTGGGCCTCTCCACGGCGACCATCAATATCACCACCCGAGGTGCGTTACTCGTCGGTTAACTTTGTGTGTTGAGAGTGGAGAGAAAATGGGTTCAAACAAAATTGAAGACATAATTTTTAAATTGTGTTGACAGTAGCAAGTTCTCTTCTTGTTCCTCGTGTCGTGTATTGACGTTTCGTGCCAGTTTCCGCAGGAATTTTACTTCGAAGGTGCATTTGTGATTAGCAATGCGGCCCCAATACATGGAAAATTTCGTAGCCAGAATTTCTTCGAGTCGAAAGTCATGAGTTTGTGATTGCATTCCGCAGCCGGGTGCGTGTTCAACGGGACGACGCACGAAGTGGGGGCGGAGCTGGTGCAAGGCTGCGAGGCCCAGTGCATGTGTCACCAGAACGGGTCCGTGACGTGCAGCGAGCGGTGCCAGTACCCGTACTTCCAGCGGGGTACCTCCCACCCGGACCCGTACTGCTCGGAGCAGGCGGTGGACGAGTGCTGCGCGCTTATGGCGTGCGAGGGGGCGGCGGATGAGGATCGGATCGGTGGGTGAATGAGTCGCAATTATTTTATAATTATTTATGTTTATTTTTAATGTAAGGTTTTAGCAGAGTGGGCTTGGGCGAGGGTTCTGTATTGCAAAAGCCGTTTCCTGCTGCGAGGGGACGTTGCCTGAAAGTAAATAAGCCTGTCAGTTGAGATGGAGAGGTCATAATTTTTGAAACTGAGAGGTCATAATTTTTAAAACAAATTTTTGGTGTAGAAATGGCAAAAAGGCACCGATGAGTCTGTTTGTCGGAACTGTCTGTCTTTTTTTCTGCGTTCGTTCGTGCTGCTGCAAATTTTCAATCATTGATTCTGCTCGAGCATGACTTTTTTTTTCCTCAAGTTTTTTTTTTTTTTGTGTTCCAGCTTTGCATTGCAATTACTGGGAGCATAATGAAACTCTTTCTCGGCCTGCTCTTTGTTTTTTTTTTTGCGGCTTGATTGTTTTGTTTCCTTCTCAGTGACTGAGGTCCCGGACCCGTCGATGCATCACGTAACGGAATTGAAGGCGTGCAAATACAACAACGAAACGTTTGCAGTGGGCGAGGATTTTCATGACGGATGCGAATACAAATGCACGTGCACTGCTTCATTAGAAATTCAATGCGAGGTGAGTTGCGAGCTCTGAGATCAGCTGTGATTTTTCTCACCGCCTAATTGTATGTGAGTGTGGCAATCAGAATTTTGCCTGAGCAAAAATGTGAAGTTGGTTGCGTACCTGTTGCAGCCGAGGTGTTCGCTGAGGGCGGATGCGACGGCGCCGCCGTCCTGCATGCTCGAGCCGGATCCGAACGACGAATGCTGCTCGCTGCTCTTCTGTCCGTCGGGGGTCAATGGGACGGGGGCCATGGTTCCTCGGGAAGGTGGGGTGGATGGTTTCGTTGCTTCTGTTGGGTGCGGGTGTGGGGCATCTGGAGCTTCTGAGGTCGTCGAGAGGCGATGGAGGCTCCAGATGCCGTCGTGTGGCCATTAAGGGGAAGGTAAACACCTGGGGCTCTGTTGCAGAGGTGTCTCCCAGATGACTCACGCGATGCGTATCGGTGGAGGCGTTTATTTAGCAAATGACAGGGTGGGGGATGAGTGGGCATAGGGCATGATTCAGTCTCTGCCAGACCTCTGCCACTTCCATTCTCTTCTCTCTGATTGACAATATAGAAGAGGAAACGAAATAGCTTCGTTCATACAGGATCTGATTAGGATACCCTGCACTTAGGCTCTTCATGACTGGAAGTACTATAGCACAAATTGGAAATCACTCTCTCAGTTCCCAAAACATTACTTTATACCACTGTAAATTAATTCTAGACTGAGCCGCTCATTGGAAATACGTTTTGGATTGGCTCTCCAATGTAATTTGCATTTCTAGAGCACAGGTCAACAGTCGTATTTGGTTGCACTCAGGATATCCTCCCCAGTCACCTCTGATCACTTCACCCTGCATATGGTAAAGGGTGTAATGTGGTAATGGAAGTGAGAAGCAGAGTGATGGAGGAGGATGCAGAAGAGAAGAGGGTTGCAGTAAGAAGGGAAGTGGCTACAGAGAACCGTGCTGTCTGCTTCTGGGTTGTATTCTGCATTTACTTTCTGCATAACAGGTACCATGAGAGCGACATGGTGGTGGTGGGAAACTGTCATGCTAAACGACGTGATACATCTAAGGTTTAAATAATCTGGCGCATTGGCAGTGTCCATTGGGAGCTACATAAAGTTTCAAAGAAGTGTTCATGCGGGGGGTTTTCATTTTGCAGAAAATAAAAACATGAGAGATTGTGAGGGGTAAAATAGAGAGGATCTTTGTTTCAGTGGAGAGTACCCAAGCAGTGACTCTTCCATTTGCTGGCTGCAAGTATGAAAATCAGACATTAAAAGCCAATGAGACGTTCAACAAAGGTTGCGAGGAGACTTGCAGATGCATGGGTTTTGGAGACATCTCATGCTTCCCACGGTGAGGCTTCTTCTCGTTGGCGGATGATGTCTTGAGGAAATGATGGGAATTCACAAAATGATGCTTTTTCAGGTGTCCGCCTCCAAGCCATGGAGGAAATCGTGGCATCTCCTGCGTCACTTTACCAGATCCTACTGATCCGTGTTGCACCATTACTGTCTGTGGAGAAACCCAGTCAGATGTAATGAAAGCAAATACCTCTGAGGGTGAGTTCCCTCCCTCTCTTACCAATTACTTTTCCTATTCCAGTGGCTTATTTTGGATCATGTGCCAAGGGGGGCAGAGCAGTAGAGAAGTGCTGAGAGAAGGTCCTTGGGTGAAAAAAATCCTTTGGGGTGCTAGTGATATAAGAAATGTCCATATAAGAGAAAACATGTCATGCTAATGTTAAACTCTGATAAACTCTGATGAGTAAAAATTAAAACATCTATTCACAAACCTTTTGACTGAATATCTATTCAGACGTCAAAGTTTAATCCAGTAAAGGAAACAACAAAGAATTCTCTTGCTTGGAGTTTGGAATTGACTTGCTGAGCTGGTTGCACAGTAAATCATCTATTTTGATCAATCACATTGCTAGTGTATCAAAGTTCTCAAAGTTAGTAATTATTTTGTTTCAGTTGTACTTTATTTCTCCTTTCCTCAGGGACACACCAAGAATCTAGCATAGCATCAGTCACAAGCACAGTATCAACCTCTACAAGCACTGTCTTGTCTACTCCTTCAACATCTGTACCATCTACATTGTCAACCTCATCGACCCCAGCCCCAATCGCACCTCCAGCTGGCCGAGCTAGTGATTCTCAAGTGGTGGGTCTCGGTTCAATGACAGTCCAAGGGGAAATGTCCACTTCTGTCAAACAGGACCGAGAAGCTCTGAGCCTGAAATTGAAGGTGGAGCATGGCTCGAGCCCATCATCTGCTGACGTTTCTGTCATTCTCCCTGACTCCATCTATAATGTCATGAAGGACCAGAATCTTCCATTAGTCCTACAGTATGGGCCAGATCTTGTGCATTGGACTTACAAGAATTTGACTCTCAATGACCTTCAGAAAACAGAGGTGGCTTTGCGCACTGAAGTCAAGGGCTTGGACCCAAAGACCCAGTATTTTTTCCAAGTGTCTTTCCTTGGCATCACAAGTAATACTGCAACATTGACCACCTCATCTGAAACAGGTGAGTGTCTGAGATGGTGGAAGGGCTACTTTATAATGTCTCAAATTTATGCTTCCCAATGAACTACTGGTACTTATATTACAGCCTTTAATGTAAAATGCTTTCCATTTAAAAGTCATAACCATAATTTTTGCTGTTTTTTTTTATTCTATCTTTGTGACTAGCCCAAGCAACATCTACATCAACCCTCTCGAGTACAACTGTGATCCTAACCTCTAGTTCTTCTGTTGCCACTTCAACCCCCACTCCTTCTACATCCCCTCCTCCACCCCCAACCACTCCCCCAACACCTGGATGCAAGTACGAGAGCAAGCAATTTAATGTAGGCTCTGAGTTCTTTATGGGCTGCAGTGCTCGATGCCTTTGCGTTGGCACCAACGTGTACCAATGCGTCCCGAGGTGCCTCGAGCACCGAATTCCGGCCGGGTTCAACTGCACGTACCAGCCTGATCCTTCAGATTCTTGCTGCACCATACCCTTGTGCACACCCTTCAGAGGTACACCCCTCTTGCACCCTTGCTTGCCACCTTTGCATGCCTAAGTGTTTTCCAAATTGTTTTAAAATTGGGGAGAGGTTTTAAAAATTCAGGTGTCACTCTTTCCTCAAATGAGATACTTTTCGTCTTGGGTGTAGTTTCATGGTCATGCATGGAATTGATGTTTGCATGAAGGAAAATCTTGAAAAGTCTTTGCACGTATGAGACCTGGATTCTGGATGAATCCTTGTACCTGTAGCAGAGGTGCCGGAAGAGCCGACGGGTTGCACGTACGACGGTGAGGTCATACCCGTTGGAACTGAATTCAACAAAGGATGTGAAGAGCGCTGTTTCTGTGTGGGCTCAGGGATCGAACACTGTGCACCTCGATGCCCTAGAATAGACCCTTTGTTTATGGAAACATGTACTCAGGTTCCTGATCCAGGAGATCCCTGCTGCAACGCCCTCTTGTGTCCCGAACCTATTCCTCTGCCCACACTTCCAGGTAGACCTTATGTATGCTCACCCCTCAGATGCCTAATCTGACACTCACTGCTGAATCTCCAATCCTGCCAGATGTAATCTAATGCTTTTGTGGTATGGCTTTGATCCCAGTTGACCTCCATAGTGCTTTACTAATACATTCCAATCTAATTATGCTGGACTTCTGGTCATTGGAGTTCAGGGAACTTCCAGCTTTACTACAGGAAAGATGAGATTTCAATGGTACATTCCTCTTCAATCCACTTTACTTTTTCTAGTATGCTCATGCCATGAAATATTAACATGATGATTTGGAGGCATGAATCCCATTTTTTTTCAAGCATGAGAAGAATTCAGTAAATGGGTGGGATATAATAATGAATATAGTCATTCAAATGATTAAAGTAAATTGTAAAATGAACAGAAAAAAATGGATTATCATATAAATATGATAATACAATGAAAAACCTAAAATCTTAAACCATTTTTGCCTCTATATACCTTTCAAACTTCAATGATCCAAGTAGCACCAGGTGTTTGGATGCAATTTCAATCCATTGTCCTTTTTTTTGCTGACTCATGAAGAATGCTGCCCACAATGTCACCAGATAAGTATATGTGGCCAATCAGACTGATAAGGATAAGAATAGCAAGTAAATTATGCTCAATTTGTCACCATGTTTGCAGCATGAGATACTAAGCAGTTTTGAAAGAAAAAAAACCAGGTAAATGTATACTCTCAAGGGGCTATAGGGCTGTCTTTTTCTTTTACATGTTAGTTGGATGACACTGACATTGATGCAGAAAGATGAACGAAAATGTTGTAGTGGTTTCAGCATAGCGCATAGATCAAACATGAAAAAATGGATGCAATGCTCCTTCTGTGAATTTTTAGCAGTGAGGAGCTAGAAGTATGCTAACTAGAAGGTAATAGTCTCCAGAGGTTCTTCAAAAAAAAAAAGTAGAAATGAGTTTTAGTTTGGCATTCCCCCTTCATTCAGGCTATGGCTATGATGTGCCATTGAGTTGTGAACAGAAATGCCTGCAGCTTGAAGCAAAAGTTTACAAATCATGGGCTATTTTGACTTCCTCATCCTGGAATTCTCTCAGAAAGAGAAAGAACCATCTTGAAACAAAAGCTGCGTTAGAAGATGATTCATGAATAAGCTTCACCTTGATCTTTCAGATGCTCCATCAATGTTCTGGTGCAATCATTCCCTTGAAGTAAAGAGAAGTTTTTCTGAATTTCTCAGGACTGTTTATGCTTTCTGAACTTTCCTTGATATTTGGATGAAAGGCACCATGCAGGAAAAGAATTTTCATCCAATGCAATTAGAAATTCCTGTGTGTTGATTGCTATTGGTTACTGCATAGTTAAGAGGCTGCATTGCTATCCCTGCTCTTGATTCTGAGAGCTCCCTTGGTCTATGCCAGGAGTATTCTATTCCAAAAAGAAAAACAAAATGGAGCATTGGAGTATCCCCAACTGGGAAAGAGAAAATCGTCCTGAATCCTGAGTCCCATTTGAGGCAGGTGACATGGCTTTCCTCTGATTGATTTCATGTCCTTTAAAGTGGGATTGAGACTGGGCCATAGGGAATGTGTGAAATGGGAGCCAAGAAGGGCCAGATTGCCTTGGGGCTCAGGACATGCTTGGGTGAATGCTTTTTCCTTTCCTTGGTTTTTTTGAAGTGGTATGTTATCCCTATATAATTCAAGAATTTGCATATTATCCATGTATAATATGGTATTGGGAGTATTATAGGAATCTATACAATGCTGTGGCATAAGTTGTGCATTTGTTTTCATTTTTATTCTCCATCATTTTGCTCTGTATTTTTCCATCTCTGTTATCATTCATGAATGAACCACTAAGTATAGGCATTTTACAGTTCTACTGGGAATGGCTGGGAATGCAGCATGAGGATCTTGAACAATGATGGTGATTGAATGCATGCCTCCCAACATTTCTCATTAACTTCTCTTAAGAAAGTTTGAAAACTTGCATGAGAAGTGCATCATTTAAAAAATATATATATATTGTATTGACCTGAATTGCTCAGTCCATTCAAACAGAACTGGAATTAAGGAAATCTAAACAAGTTAATTTTATGCAGAAATATGTTTACCTGGCAATATTTATCAAAAGTCTATAAATGGTATAAATGTTTATCTTCATATTTCTTGAATTATTTAGAAGCAATAAGCTTAACAAACCCTGCAATAGATCCATTATTTTCTAAAATATCATGATTGCAGTCCTTTATTATATAAACTGCAGCAATATCAAAGTCACACTTGGGTCTGTATTCACCAATGAAGAGCAATTCAAGTTAGGCTTTCCATGCTGGTAGTGGTATTGTGTCTTAGTGGTATTTCTGAATTCTGACATTTAGGAACAGAACAATCCTGTTCATCCATCTGATGTCTGTGATAAGTGAACCCTAGCCCAAAAAATCAAAATCAAATTCATTGCCATAACTTATGGCCCCTCTAGGTTGAAAAAGAGCCTAATTTAATTGACTATTTGAGCCAATTACATTGTGCTATTTATTATCTGAAGAAATTACTTAACCAGGAGATGTTGTTGACAATATTTTCATTTGCCATCTCTCTCTTGTCAAATATCATAATGTGAGGTTTCTTTGCAGTGTAGTTTTTCCTAGTGATTGTTAATCTCACAACACTGCAACACAACAGACTTTATCATCAGTCAAGACACCTAAGATGTGTCTCGTTGTAGCCTTGGGCAGTCACAACAAAGACTGCTAATCTGACTAGTGATATGAATAGTTAAGCACCCCTCAATGAAAAGTGGTTATGAACCACACAATCAGGTCCTTGGAAGGTTCTCCTCAGCCCCAAAATGATATCAATCATCTTTGGCAGATGAATCCCAAGATGGAGAAACATCAACTGTTTCAAACACACTGGGAGGTCAAGAGGGCTGCTTATATGAGGGGACTTTATATCCCCTTGGGACTAACTATACCAAGGGATGTGAAGAGAGATGTGTCTGCCTGGGACCTGGCATTGAGCATTGCTTCCCTCGATGTGAGGATATTACTCCCAAGCTGAAGGATGGCTGTACAGTCATCCCTGATCCTGCTGATAAATGCTGCCAGAATCTCAAATGTCCTGGTTAGTATTATTTGCAGTGGCTTCATATCTATAAATATTTGTGACTATATTTGTGATGGATTGTGTCATTTCAGAAAAAAATCCACGCTTGGAGGACTCTGGGAACTCATTGGCAGACAGCCAACAGATACATTGTTCCTATGAGGGGAAACTCCTTTCAGTATATGAGAGGGTGTACAATGAATGCGTCTCCTTCTGCATGTGCATGCCTTCGGGCGAGATGGAATGTGCAGCCGTGGAATGTCCTGATGCCTATTCCCTTGAGTACCTGCATCCTGAGTGCTATGAATGGGGACCAAATCCAGCCACTCCAGTGGAACCACCAAACTGTTGCCCACATTATGTGTGTCTCAATGATGGCACATGTGAGTACAAAGGGGAGACTTTCGACAACTTTGAGGAGATCCCTGAGAGCTTGACGGGTTGCCAAAAGCGATGCATGTGCGAATTTGGGAACATCTCCTGCCATGACGTGTGTCCTCCAGTGGCTGAAAAGCCTCCTCTCAGCCTCCCTTGCCCCCCTCAGATTGCCTTCTTGGAGGAAGAAGGTTGCTGCCAAGTATGGAAATGCCCTTCAAGTGAGTCCTTCTATTTTATAATTTGGTGATTTGGTAATTTGGTGTCTGCTTTAAATTCTGATCACTATATTGTGGGGTGTCAGCTGATTTTGGAGTGGGGTGCCACTGCCTTTTGCTGCTCATGATTCAGCAACTAATGGTATCCGTGAAGAAAAATCCACTGTAATCTGCAAATCCCTTCAGGAGTTATCAGAATTCCAACCGGTTTTACTAAGACACATCCCCTGAGTGTATTCATACATGATGTTATTTCTGTGCTGAACAATGTCCATCTCACTGTTACACACTCATGAGACATTCCTTGAGGGAGAGTCTTGATGATTGAAAGGACATTATCTGCAGGTCCATTCACGCCGACCCGTCCCCCACCTCCCATCCCTGGCCTTTTAGATGCGGATCGTTTCCCCATGTTCCCTCCTCAGAATACCAGACCTACAAAGCCTAACTTCCCACTTCCACCAACACTTCAAATAGGTCAGTATTCCCCATGCTTGCTGCTGCCTGTGCTGCATCAACAAGATTGGCCTGCATGGTCCTGCATGTTTTGCATGCCTGGTCAAATGACATGGCATTTTTCTCCAAGATTATCAGCAGAAAAATATTGTTATTGTCAATATTATGCTACCCCCATGCTTTTTGAATTGTAGCCATTTTTTTTTACTGGCATCTTCTTACAAGAGAATGAAACAGTGGCTATGCCAGAGGAATGACATCGCACAGTTGATCTCCACGTAAAAAGGAAATTATAAATATGCTGTTCAGTTCAGAGCAACTATATTGGCATGCTTCATAATGTAAGGATGTATGAAGTACTGATTGACCTTTGCTTGTGAGCAGCTGATTTGACTTCCAGATTCTCATCATGCATTGGAAGATGCCTCAGTAGTGTCGATTATTTCCTTAACACATGCTTACTCCAATATTGTGTACTTATCTATGAGACTCTTCCCTGATAGGTTCCAGTTGAGTTTAGTTTTAGAAAATTGCAGCCCATTATTCTCTAATCTTACCTGCCAAAAACCTGCCTGAAGGATAATTTTTACTTCAATGAATAGACATATAATACAGAGTGGTGCAAAAGTTGCACCCCATAGGGATTTTGAATAATAATAATATTAATAATAAACCATTTCTTTTTTGTTTATTAAAGTAAATGTTCGAATTGTACATTAAATTCTGCAACTGATCGATTTGAAGCACTCCTTCCATACATGAAAACCTAACTCACCCTCTCATCTTGCATTAATTTTGCAGCCATCACTTTACCTGGAAAGGAAAAAAAAAATTTCTCTATGGGGCATGACTTTTGCATCACCCTGTATATATAGAATCTCTATATAGAAGTTCATCTAATCTCTTTTGTACTTTAAATACAACCTGTTCAGTGATACTCACTACTTACTGCTGACAAGCATCTTGCAATGACTGCAGATATCTAGTGTTTGTTATGAGGATCTAAGCATGATGGAGCATGGCATTTGGTTTCTTTCCACAGCCCACATGGATAGTACAGTATTTGTAGAATTCCCTCTCACGAATGAAAACCATGTGGTAGGCACCACCTGTACAGTTGCACTGGAATGTTTCCCTACACTTGCAGACACAAGCTGTGCATACAATGGAAAGCTGTATGGAATTGGCCAGTCGTGGGAAGTGGGAGCAAGCTGTCAGAGGAAAACTTGCACCTGCACTCTGCATCCGAATGGAACAGCAGGGGTAGAATGCCAAGGAGGGTGCGCTGATGTGGCATCTCGGGCCCTTGAGCCCAGCCCCGAATGCCCTTCACCGTATCTCTTCACCCCTACTGATCCCTGTATATGCCCCTTTGTCATGTGCAATGCCTCTCACTCCTCAGGTTTGTTCCTTACCATCTTCTTTGTACATTTTGATCATTTATTTCCGTCTCTTTTGATTTTACCAGTTTTGTCCTTCCATACCATTGGAGGTCCTTTGTGATGGAAGGAACACGTAATTGTCAGGCCCCCATAGAAAATGGCTGATGTTACTGATAGAACTTGATGTACTTAATAGGACAAAGGATCTCTGACTTGCGTGTTCATCCGATCAACGCCACTGCTGTACAGATCACATTTTCCCTACCGCCTATCTATGTTGGTCTCTCTGGTGATGTTGAAGTCCTCTATGACTACAAGTCACAGTTAGTTTCGATCATCTTGTTTTCTTGGTTCTTCGACCTCCTTGCCTCTCCCTCACACTTAGTGTACTCCCTAGGGAGAAGTCAGATCCTACCCAGTGGGACTCTACATTCTGGATGCCAGAGGGGGAAGTCTTTGCATCCAAGAGACAGGTGTTCACTCTGAATCGGTTCAAGCCAGGTCAAGTATATGTTGTCCAATTACGAATTCATCTCGACCGTATCACAAATCCCCTGGATAGTGACACCGTCACTGTCTCTATGCCACCTGATCTCGATGGTACTCATCCTGGTAAGTAGGGCTAATCTACTGCCATTAATAACTTTAGGCAGGGCCGTCCAGAGGGGGGGGGGGGGGCAATTGGGGCAATCTGCCCCGGGCCCCACGTATCAAGGGGTCCCAAGGGGGCCTCCAAAGGGCCTCAAGGGGCCCCCAAGGAGGTCTCCGGTTTTGTCCCGGGACCCTGGAAACCTCTGGGCGGCCCTGACTTTAGGGGCAAGGGGTAGAAGGAGTTGCCTTAGCTACCAGTTTAGAATTTTCAAAAGCAGTCCATTCAAGAGATTTAATCACTTTCCTTAGTTTGGCACAGCAGTTGTGATTAGCTGTGTGTAACAGGAACACTCCAATTATTTCGGTTGCTGCTGATCGATAACTCTTTGGAAAACGAGGCTGATGCCGTGTAATTGTTTCTCTGGCAGCGACGAAAGGACCAAGTACAACGAAGCCCCCTCATGTCCCAACCACATCCCTGCCATCAAAACTCAATGTGGATGCAAACCTCGAATTCAGGAACCTTCAACCAACATCTGTGTTCATCTTATGGAGGAAATTCCGCCCTTTCGAGAGGCAATTCATCGATGCCATTCAACTGCGATATCGGAACAGGGATGAGAATTCTCAGGTGAGGAACCAACTGCGTCAGAGCACAAGTTGACTGGTGATGCCTGTTTTAAACAAATCCATTTTTTCGTGGATTTGTGCGATTCAGGTCCCAAAGATGACACCTCTGCTACATCCAGAGAATACAGAATACGAATTGCGAGGACTAACACCCGACACGGAGTATGAAGTGGACATTGCATTCTCTCCTTTCCCGAATCAGACAACCGATCTCGTATCGGATACTCCATTGTACCTGCACACTCCTCCGCTTTCAGGTTAGACAATTTCATTATTATGGCTCGACGATTTATTTCCTTTTCTCACTCATCTTTTCGCCGTGCATTTGCAGATATTTATAATTTCTCGATGATGCTGGAGATCCCGAAGATGAGTTCCCGAGTCATCGAGCTCCGTCTGAACGGGATCCCCCAGCCTCCAAGCAAATACGTCAACGTCTATCGCGTCTTGCACAAAGCCATGAACCGCCTCACGCCCGAGGAACAATTCGTTCTCCCAAAAGTCGACCCTCCGGCTTTCACCATCGAGGGTCTCAAGCCCAGCACTGAGTGATTGCATTTTTTAATGGAGTCCATCAGTGTCGCTGCTGCGAGTTCTCATCCCTTACAAAAAAATTTGGCATTCCCTCGTTTCCTAGGTACCAAATATGGGTGGAGGCCTTTCTGAGAAATGGGAAGATCTTGCCATCAAACGTGATCGACCGGAAGACACCTTCAGATCCTTATGGCGCACCAGATAATCCCAAGGAGACACAGTTTGCGGAAAAGAGTGAGTGTGACCTGAAAATTGGCACTTGCTCTGTATCGTAAAACGGAGTGACTTGATACGTTCCTAAACTTCAATGTTACATAACTACCATTATAACGGATTTTGATAATTTTTTAATATTTATACATCTGTCTCAAAGTCAGCTCTTCACGTTCACTCAATTATTGGCTCAGTTTATTAATTGGTCTGCATCAAGTCTCCCGCAAAGCGAGTGACTTGATGTAGGATTCCCTGGAGACTTTAATTTATATAATCGAGAGCGAGAATCGAGACAACGAAGCTTCTACAAAGAAAGAGAACGAATTTGTAGTGTTCCCCGACGGAGTTCCAGGAAGTCACGTAGAACTAGCTAGCTTTCTGCATAGACATTCCAGCCTTGACAGTCTGTCTTCCGTGTACAATTGAAAGACACTGACTTTTCGCTGGCATGGTCTCTTTTGTGGTGGCTCATTGATCGGGTGGTGTCTCCCGCTTGTGAATATCTCAGAAAGGGGCTCCGAGGCCATCAGTGGCGGACAGCTATTTTCTGCAGAATCCAAGTTAAAAATAAGTATTAATTGGAGTTAAAGTTAAAAGTTAAGTGATGCCTCCACCCCCCAAGTGGAGGCATCACTGTCTCGCGTAGGGAGGAAAAGGGAAGTCACTCTCTTATCGGAGTGGAAGACGGATGGCATGTAATGAAACTTTAATTAAACCTTTGAGGTTTAATAGTGTAGCGAGGTTGGGTCAGATGGACTGTACTGCATGTCGAGCGGATTGGAAGAGCTAACGAGAGAACCGGGAGTAGGAATTCTCATGTGTCACTCTGGTCTTACAACCCATAGCCAAAACACCTGCCCCACATTGGCCATTTGGGCAGTGTGCTGAAGTAGGTGTATCAAGTCACCCCATGTTTACAGTAGTTCATTCAGGATGTGAAAAATACTTAACTTGGGTCATAGACACATGTTAAGTTTTAATACATTTACAGTTTGTTACTAATTTCGTAATTGGGATGTACAGCTATTTACTTAGCTTTTTGCCGATGCCTAATTTTGTCAAAGATATTTAATTGATATCAACACATTAGCCCTCTCAGATTACGTTTAACTGAACACAGGTACAATAATTTTACTGCACTAATTTATTGCACTGCCTAATTTGAGATGACATGAATACAGGTCATGCAACGGTCGGAGGAGACGAAGGAGGTTCTTATTACGTCCCAATGATCATCTTGGCCATCGTGGTCGTGGTCTTGATCGTCCTGTCCATTGCAATCGCCATCCTGTGCCGACGCCAGAGCCGAGCCAAGGCTCCTATCTCCTCACCTCGCCATGTCAACGATCACGAACTCACAACACAGAGCTACAACAACCCCTCATTCAAGGTAGTGTGCTTGGTCCAGGGTGATCTGACGCAGATGCATTTTTAAACTATTATATTCTCCTTAAGCAAATAAGTCAAAGTTGTTAATTGGTCATATCTGCAATGTCTATTCAAAAGATTTAGTGACTGATATTTGTTTCTATGTAGTTATTCTGGTAGTATTATTATTCAATGCGGTATATATATATATATATATATATCCATATTTGGGTTTGTTGGAAAAAATACTATACTTTATCAGCAGTAATAGTAAATAAAAATACTGTAATAATGACACGAGATAAGAGTGAATGCAGCTCATGTTAGTGAACTAAAAGCTCTTAAATGAAGCTTTGCATGGGCAATTTTCCAAATCAGCTTTCATTATTTGTCATCATACGTATTTCAATTGCAAAAAGACCATTCGCTAAATACGTTCGTGAAAGTGCCATTTAGCCCTTTGACGAACTCTGATATTTGTGGAGCTGATGACCTTATTGAAGGTGTTGATGCAGCACGCAGATGCGGAGGGAAATTACATCAACGGGAAGGATTCCACGAAGTCCCTGGATCCATGAAGACGCGAGAAGAGGCAGCAGTCGGAAAATGTGATATTGAGTCCGCAGGAGAGGAGTGATAAGTCTGCGCTTCCTCTCGAAGTCCATGCCATAGGGAGGAATCCCTGATTGATATGTGATAATGCTCAATCGTCCCCCGATCCCGATCCCTTGAGAGAATGCGTGTGTGTGTGTGTTTTGTGATTCCAAATATGACTCATGGGTTCCTTTTGCAAGCAAAAACGGTGCTCCGATCGTCGGGTTCCATGACTCGATTCTCCGTGCAATTCTTGAATCCTATTAGATGTGACTCCAGCCGACGAGTGGATTACATTTCATCCTTCTTCACGTTCACACATTTTAGATCTTAAGATTTTTTTTTATGATCCACACGAGCACGAAATTCCTTTTAGGTTGGCCGGTCCAACAGTTCTTAATCCGAAATTCCTGCCAGCGGCAGCTGGTTCCAGCCATCATGACATAAATATGGCCTTTTATTTCCGGGTTTTTGTCTGTCCTTGTAAATGATGAAAGAAGTATCTTTGCATGCTTCATTGTATTTTTTGGATCTTTCATTGTGATAATGTAGTCAGGCGAACTATGTAGGGAGCAACCAAACAGTATGGAAAGATCTTGAAATGCTCCCGGTGACAGTTTCCTTGTTGAAAGGACAAAAAAATGACTGGTATTGATTATTACAGCTGTATCATGATGAGCTGTGACTGGGTATGAATGTTGTAGATTATGGAATGAAGATGACGAGTCTTTTCTTGATCTATTTCTGTGTCCTTCTTCTGACCTGGAAGAGAAAGAAATTGAAATTCTTTCTCAATCTCTGTTGCCTGCCTGGTACAGTTCTGTCGTATTTTTAAAGTGAAATTTTGATAAGCTGCATGGAAGAAGTTATTACTTTCTGTCCCGGGGCTACACTTTCATCAAATTTCATCGCAAAACTCCCACAACTCGTTCTTGATTCGGAGAATTTTTTTCTACAAAATCTACGAAGACAACTTCACCAATCATTGCAGCTGTACCTATACGCATTTTGAAACAAAATTATTTACCTGCTTTCAATTATAAAACTAATCCACTCCGTACATTTTCCATATGTTTGAACCGATCATAGGACACATTACTTTCGTCTCATTGGAAGTGGGAATAAAGTTCCTCAACGGACCAGCCTCCGTCCTCCATGGCTCTGTAACGTTCGTAACGACCGGCTGCATGATCTTCAGTTTCAAAAAGAAGAAATATGAACTCACTTGGAAAGAACTGGAAGCGCTCAATTGCTGCCCATGACCTCCTCGATGTGAAACTGAAGAAGCACCACCAGGTAGGTGAAGATGGTCCCAAACACCTATAGGAAAAATTCGTTTCCAGCGAGCCAAACACGACGGGTTGTGGAGAGAGAGAGAGAGAAGTCGGAAACGCTCACGGCAGTTAGGAGGGGCTTGTTGATCTGGAAATAGTTTGATGAACTCACTCCGATGGGGTGGAGTGAAACCTGCATTTGGAATTGCATCATCTGCTGGGATATCCGTGGGGGGAGGTCCATGCTGCACTCCTTCGAGATCTGCATCAGTGTGTCTTCCGTCTGTGCGAAAAGGAGTTTTATTTTTGGAAAGCCCCGAGGAGCCGTCGAGAAAAATGGGAGTTTTTCTCCACAGCTGGGGGAATCGAGAAAACCTATCCAACGGGCTTGATCATTGCAAATTCTCTAACGTGCCAATTGGTGGAATAGGTGTCATGTGAAGAGTCTCCTAGGGAGGATCGGCGAGTGAATGTGGTTGCGTAAATCGGATGGAAAGATGACCTCATTTACCTCCAGGCTCATACTCGGAACACGAGTTTCAAAGTTTGAGATTATCTATGTTTTGTTATGTAGGTACTCTAAGGAGTCTCCTGGCGTGACTCAAATGCCACTTTCATGCCGATTTGTTGGATTGCGGACTCGATGGCCAAACAGACTTATCTGAGTGACTTTTGGGAAAATGGGGAACATTTGAGTGCAGCAGAGTCTATCGCTGGTCAGGATTTAGTCCAAATTTGATATAAACATCGCCTGAAATGAAACGCAGAAATCGAAATTTCGGGCATCAACGTCGATTTGAAAGCCACCCAGGGTCAGAAAAAAAATCTAATAAATAATCCAGCCAGTACATTTCCTAAGAATATGTCCCTGCTTGAATCACGAACGGTTTAACTCCATTAGACTTCTTCCCGACTGAATGATTCATCTACAGGAGCCATGTGATCCGTCATGTACGCGTCGTCGCTTGGATCTGACTCACCCTCACCGATAGAAATCTCTAATCGGCAAAAATGCCCCTCTACCCCAGAAACAAAAAATGAAAACCGGCCACCTACCTCCGTCCCGACCCGTCCACCGGCCCTGGCCACGAAGACGAGGAGGAAGGCGAGACCCGCGACGGTGGACGCGCTGTTCAGCATGACTTCCAGGTTCTGCCTCTCCAAGCCGTCCACCGTCAAGTAGATCTTGGTGGTGATCAGCACGATGCCGTAGGCGATTCGAAGCAGGATCGTCGGGTGGAACACGCGACTCAAGTAGGCCGCCAGCTCGCAGATCTCGAAGTACTTTCCTCGTCTCTTCTCGATCTCCATTCTAACGTCGATTTCGTTGCAATACGTTTTGGAAAGGATGTGAATCGCCGACACTTTCTCGGCTTTCGTTTCCCGAAGGACGCCTTTGAGATGCACAAGATTCCTGACGGAAATCAGCTCGAGGCATTTGCACAAGTACACGAACATGATGTCGGCAGTCATCGGGAGACACCCGAGAACCCAATACGTGACGAAATAAGAAATATCTCCCACGGTTTCACAAGCTCCCTCGCACCAGGAAGGCATGATCTCGGAGCGAAAAACGAGGAGGATGCACCAGAGGCCAGTCCAGACGTAGACGAGAGGAAGAAGATATCCATGACGGCGAAGCTGCCGCAAGTCTTCCGCCTCGAGGCCGATATCCTCCTCGACGTTCTGGACGAGGCGCAACAACTTCGCCAGCTGTCGCCCTTTGAAGATGTTGATGAGATAGGCCGTGAGGAGGACGAAAATCCACTGAACCGCCGAGATCCTTTCGGCCAGGAGACTCGCTGTGGAGGATCCCGACGACGGGATGATGTCGTCCAACCCTCCCCTCCCCTCCGCGGTGCCGTTGAGACGTTCAACCGCCTCGACGGAATAGGGGAAGCAGAGGATGACGAGGATCGCCACGGTGACCGTGGGGAGAGCGATCACGACGGGGACGCAGGCGAGGCCATAGACGAACGCCCAACTGCAGTATCTGAAACGCGGGCCGCCCGTCTCGTCGTTGCCCAGGGAGAAAACTCCCTGAAGGGGGAAAGCACCGAATGTCTTCCCCAAAATGGCCAACGCTCGAAAGTAATAAAGGGCAAAGGACTTCATGCCGACGAGGACTGGCCCTCGATAAAGTCACGGTCACCGGCTGGAAGACGCTTTTCTCCTCGTATCTTATCTTCATTTCCGCACTTCTTTAGGTATTTACTTAAACATTAAATTTAATTTTTTACACGAATGCCTTCGCAAACAAGAGGACCATCAAAACATCGCATGACCAGTGATAACAATTGTAAACCCGATGAACAGAATCGAGAAAACTTTATTTCCTGACTTTTCTCCTCATTTCTGCTTTCAAAACTGCGGACCACCAACCTTCCACTTTCTCAACGATTGAAATATGACGCTGAAGATACGTGATTCGTGTCAGCCTTTCTTAAGCGCAATGAAGCAAGACCGTATTTGACCTTTTTACTTTTTTTTTTCTTTTTTTCCCGCTTTATCTGGCATTTCGATTGGTGTGAGCGTGTTGTTCCAACAGATTTTAACCCGTTGTTGGCAAAAGCCGAATATTCTTCAGGCATTTTATTCGCATTTGAATGTCATCAGAGCCTCGCAATGTAACCACATACTCTCTCCATCGAGGAAAATGAAACCAGCCACTCCCGGACAGAGAAAAAAAAAATAAAGTAGCGAATGTACAAAAGGTTTTCCCACAGAAAGGCGGGCAAAAGTCTCATATGAGTCGAACTCATAATATTCCTATAATACTGCATGAACCGAGAAATATTGGTTTCCCATCGGATTACCTAATGAAGCATACAGACTACATATAATTTTAAGACTGTTTCCGCGGGTCGCGCGATGATGATGACAGTGTAAATATAAACTCATATATATTTAATACATGGCACTCAGCGTCACACATTGTATGTTTGCGTTATGAGGTGAATTCTGGATCCTCTCATAGCGACGAAGCCAAGAAGACAAAGCAAGGGGCGACCTAACAAAACGGAAAGATGTCAAAAAACGCTCCGATCCCGGTTTCTCTGATGCAATCGCGGTGACCCCGATCGCCGCTGCTCTATCGTGATGAATACAACTGATAAGATGGGATGCCTCTCTCGATCTTCTATCGGTTCTCCCAGCCTGCAAGAGACGGGGAAGAGAACTGGTGGCTCCGCGAACACAGAGAGGACGGAAGGCATGCTTACGTTTATGAGATTTTCGATGCGGCAGAATCGAGGGAGCTGAGGATGGTGTCTCTGGTCGTGGGGACGTCTCCGTCCATGGCTTCCTCGATTCGGAATTGCAGCAGGACGACCAAATACGTAACAATCGTTCCGAAGACCTACGGATAAAAAAAGGCTTCATGGCGTAGTCCAACGATTGTTTTTTCGAATTCCGTCTGGTTTCCCATAATAGCTCGATTATTGTCAATCGCTTCTTCACGAATTTCTTGTCATGCTGCAGGGACATTCATTTTCTTCACGAAACGTCAGGTAGGACGGATGAACTCACGGAAGTCATGACTCCCTTGCCGAGCGTGAAATAGTCGGAAGCCGTGAGCTTCACCGGATGGGAAGACATCTGCAACTCGAACAAGATCATCTGCGCCGAGAGAGAAAAGACGGATGGAAGGAAAGACATGTCACTCAGTCCGCTGCTGGGAGAGGACTGAGATGCGGCTCGCAGGGCGCGAGGATGTACCTGCTGGGAAAGGCGGTCGGACAGGTGGATGCTGCTGGTCGTGGAGATCTCCTTCAGCTTCGCCTGCGTCTGAACGAGTTGGAGGCATTGCAATGGTTCATTTTCTTTTTTTTTTTTTGGTGTCGACTCGGGGATGAAGCAGAAATGAGTCTCATTCTCACGACTTTCTGTATTTTCATCCGAGTGTTACGTTCTTTTCGTGAAGCATGGACGCAGCTGATAATTGTCCAGACGCAAAAGTCGAAATTGCCCCTAGGGAAACCTTCCCCGGTTGAGGAAAGGCCTTAAAATTTAGCCTTTTTTTTTTTTTTTTTTACATCTGCCGCAGAGGAAATTCCAAGGCAGCTCTCCCGAAGAGCTATTTACCATGGATATACCAAACAAACCCCATTCTGATCCCTCGAACGGGAAAGAAAATTCTCCTCACTGAAGTGCAAAAAGTGGAATTCGTGTTCACATTTGGGAGATTCTCTCTGGAATTCTTCCTCGAGAGATTCGCGTCCAGAGAAGCAGGAAAGTGAGAGGAATCGAATCGACGTTTTCGTTCCTCGAGAGTGAAAGAACGAATTTTAGGACCATTTTCAGAAATCATCTCATAGCGATTCCCCCTCAAAAAAAACTCCAGTTCTGAAGACAACGAGCCGCAAGATCTCAAATTGTTAATTTCCGATAGTAGATCGATCTTTACGAGCAGGACCCAATATGGAGCCTGACGCGAACTGGCCCGGTCGAAATTCCCTTTTTCTTTTTCTCGGTCTTGGAGAAGGCGTTTCGCACATGCTCGACTAATTTTCTGCTAATCTCCGCCAAGGGATAGAAAGAACTAGGAACCGGCTATTGGCAGAACAGTTTGCATGAACTCGGTGGTTTTCCTGTCGTCGTCGGTGAGACCTCCGTTGGCAAGTTGACGAGGGGCACGAATTGCATGGAGAAAATACTTTTTTTTTTGTCTCGGGCCGAAGGGAAGCTTTTCCAATGCAAGGGGGTCAGAATCCAGTTGTTTTGGTATATTTAGAAGGAAAGAAACGGCATGCGTTTCGAAGTGTCATGCTGTGGTATTGTATTTCCGTGCATGACGGGTGAAGAAAACGACGATCCCATGCTCCGCATTCTATCAAAACTTCTAATCCCGTTATGCAAGTATTAATTTTTTTTTTAAAGACGAAACATGGCTTTCGCCCCTCTCTATTCTCCTAAAGTTCGGTAAAATTCTTTGTGGAAGGCTTAAACAGGACCCTGTAATCCCCCCAAGAAGCCATACGAGATGCCATAAGCCACGCGAAGCGCCCACACGTGAGATGTCGATCGATATCATTGGCCTTACCTCGTCCTCTCGTTTCCCTCGTCGAACCCGAATGAGAAAGACAGATCGTACCTGCGAAAAGACGTTCCCGGCGGCCACCGCGACGTGCCCCATGCGAAAGAGCGACACGAGCCCACAGCTGAACCCGCGGAGGCAGCCGACCCACTGCCTCTGGAGGATGGCAGAAGCCCCGTGATAGAGCATGACCGTCGCCATCACCGAGTTGCAGAGGAAGCTGAGGAGGAGACCCGGACTGTGGAGGCCGCTGAGGGTGTCGGCGAGCGACGAGACCTCCAGGTAGAGGTCGCGCGATTCGTCCACGCCGCTCTGGATGTCGGCGTCGAGGGCAGGGTCGGCGATCGTCCAGATCTTCTTCTTGGCGGTGGACGCGAGGGAAACGGGGACGTCTCGCTTCGCGGCCACGTGCGATTTGAGTCTGTCGGACAGGTCCTCGAGCACGCGGACGCCGTAGATTCGTAGGACGTGGCACGAGTAGACGAAGATCAGCTCGGGGGTGAGGGAAGCCACGTAAAGGACGTAGTAGAAGAAGGCTCCCGTCAAGTACATGACCCTATTTTCGATCTTGCTGCCTTGGACGAATACGTCCAGACAGGACGCCAGGGCGACATTCAGGAAGAGAATCGCATACGACGCGAGCATGAAGACGCCGACCCTCTTGAACGGCCTCTCCTCCCTCTCATCCAGCTCCAACCGCTCCTCCATCCGCCTCACGCGATCCAGGAACGCCGGATACCTCCTCACGTTCATCCACGTCCCGACGTACGTCGCAAAGAAGAGCACGATCACCATCCCGACCTGGCACTTCGTCGCGATGTCGTCCGCCAACGACCCCGACACCCCCATATACCCCTGCTTCAGTATCATCGGATACGTACACGCCAGCATGCACGGCAGAAACACCACGCTATACACCACCGTCGTGCTCCACGCCTTGAACCTCAACGCATCCCCCCCCTCCCGCCCCACACCATGCACATTCTTCAGCGGAAAAAGCCCCAGCATCTTCCCGGCCAACAGGAACGGCCTGAGCCAAGCCAACACGGATTCACCCGCCATCCTCTCTCTTCCCCGAACGAAAACTTTTTCCTGCGAGACGATTCGACCTCCCAAAACGCTTCACCTCGAGTTCTAAATCAATAAATCGCCGTTAATGGGCGCGGCAAACGACAAAGCAGCATCCGCCAACGAGTGCATATGGTGCATCGATAAGAAGAAGGTTTCTGAGTGCTATCGCGTCCTAATGGGTCCAAATGAATCGTCGAAACCCGGGATGCAATCGCTTATCTCGGTCGGTTGAAGGAGTGACGTCATGGATGACGGGATGGATGACGTCACTGCGGGCTCTGACGGTGCAGATGGCGTGGATGGCACGGGGAATTTTTTGACGAGGCGATCGAAATCGAGCAACGGATGAGGAGACGGGTCGATCTGACGTGTCGGCTGGAGGCTGCTCATTCGGTAATTCGGCTAGAGGTAATTCGGTAATTCGGTAATTCGGTAATTCAACGGTCAGAGGGAGAAAATCCGCAGACGTTGTCCGGCCGGCCGGATGCGCATCGTCGATGGCGGAAATAATTTCCCGAGCGGGAAAAAAAAAACTGCCAAAAGCGTGCCGACGCGACTCAATGCGGTATGAGGCGACTTCGCTCGTGAAATGGGGGCAGGGTGTTCGAACCGGACTCGGTCTTCCAAATCTTGGAGCAATTCTGGGACAATCCTGGAGAATTCTTGAATTCATCAGACGTTCTTCGATGGCATACGTACTAGTACCTGCTGGTACTAGTACGAAGAGGAACTTCCCCCTCGCCTCACGCAGGAACGCTTGACCTTGACACGTCATGACGTGCGAAAGTGGCTCTCGGGGTCCTTTATCCGAACCTTGAACCTTGGGATCCATTATCGGCGCTTCATCGGCGCTTCATCGGCGCTTCATCGGCGCTTCATCGGCTTCGCGCGGGGGATGTTCGCAGGGTTATAGGAGAGGTCGTCGGGCAACTTCCTTTCGCCTGCTTCTCTGCGATTTCTTCATCGTCGCGAATCGTTAACGATTCGCGACTGAGGGAATTTGCTGCGATGAGCGAATGGAAGGCCTTTGTGAAAAGGCCATTGTGGACCGACGCCAAGGACGTTCCGAGAAACGGCATCGACAGGCAGCTTTTCACCGAGAATCGGCGCTACAAGGGCGCTGAGGCGAGGTATTTCCACGCGACGAATCCACCCTGGGAGATGTGTATGGAAGACGCAAACGAGATGAGATCGCCAACATGCTCGCGCGGAAAACTTCTTTCCTATATCATCCTCCCCCTTCTTTCCTATATCATCCTCCTCTTTCTTTCCTATATCATCCTCCCCCTTCTTTCCTATATCATCCTCCTCTTTCTTTCCTATATCATCCTCCCCCTTCTTTCCTATATCATCCTCCCCATTCTTTCCTATATCATCCTCCCCCTTCTTTCCCATATCATCCTTCCTCAACTTTATGAGAGTAAAGAGCAGGACTCAATTCGCCGATCGAAGAAATCATTCAGACGGATATCTCGAAGTTCTGCGTTTCATCCTCCATCTCATTTTTCCTTCACGAACGTTTCCCATGAAAGCATCACCGCGCGATGACAGAACGACCTTCACGCGGGAACCAGATGGAATGCCCTTCGATAAAAAAGGACCGAGCCACCGATCCCTGCATTCCGCCCGAAAGCAACAATTTCATTTTAAAAATGAAGAAGGCTTTGTTTTTTCCCCAAGTTGATACGTTGTTGATGAGATTCTTCGAATCAGAAACTATTATCGCAATGGTCACTGTCTCCATAACAACCTGAAAAAATTGTTTCAAGAACAGGCTCCAAAGCATAGGACGAATTCTGACATTAGATCCTTTCTGTTCTTCAAGTTTTTTCAAAGTAAATTTTATAATACCTAGATGAAACCATCTTCTCCAGAACGCTGCCTTTTTGCAAAGTGGGAAACTCCGATATCTGCGGAGCAGACGATGCGAAAGCCCGCACTGATGCGCCTATCAGATGCGGAGGGAAATTTTTTTTAAATAGACGCGAGGATGCTTTGTAGTTCAAAGTGCGAATGTGCGAAAACCGTTTTCCAGGTTTTCCCTTTCTTCAAGTTCTTTCCTGACGTTCACGAACGTTAGAAATGAGACTTTAATGAGACGAAACGGCGATGTGGCGGGCCGGGCGAAAGATTTTAATTAAAACCCCAACAGTGCCACGGTTGCCGGCTTTTTCGTCGTACGCGAAGAGAGTCGCACAGGATGAAAGGAGAGAAAGCAGGGTGAACAAAATGCTACAAAGAAATGGGTTTTTCTCATGGATATCAGTTGGGGAAGGGTTGCAGTCGTTCTTGGCGTTACTGAGCGGCGTTTCGCGTTCATGTGCGTGTATCCAGAGTCGTGTTGATGGCGTTCGAATGCCTCAAGACCTCTGAAAGTAAATTTTAAAAAAGCTCCGCAATGAAGGGTATCTTTATACTGTAGAAAGGCGAAGTCTGAATAAGATAGCATGGCGATGTGAACCACGAAGCTGTAAATATGCTAAGAAGAAACAACGGAGTCGCCAATTCACACGCTGATCGCAATCACGCACCCAGTTCTGAAAGCGTCCGATGGGCAAATGGGAGCGCTTGGGACCTGGAAGCCATCGCTCAAAATTCTCAAGAATCCACGTGTAGACTTGTGCAAGCAGCATCTGTTCTTGTAATGCCTTGTAATGCCCTCGTGACAAGGAGAGTACGACGACCGGTGTCTGTGACGAAATGGCGCAACGCTCCGAATTGCACGCGACGAAACGTCCGCCGACCATTTTAGCCGCGACGAAAGGCGCCGTTCACGCGATGGCACTTGGTTTCATCCACATCGACATCGAGGACATTTCGATTTCTTTGCATGTTTCGGTGTGAGATTGCAGTCATGCGAACAATAACGAAACTGTATTGAAAGTTCTCCAGCGGAAAGGTCAGAAGCGAGGATGACGATCGCACATGTCGAGTCTGACTGGATTTTGAATGTAGATTCATGCGTCCTTCCTCGATTCTTTCTTGCATCCTTCCGACCTGCAAGAGATCAAAGGAAATAGTCGACAGCATGACCTCCATGAGTCTCAGGAGGAAGGGAAATGAACTCACTTGGAAAGAACTGGAAGCGCTCAATTGCTGCCCATGACCTCCCCGATGTGAAACTGAAGAAGCACCACCAGGTAGGTGAAGATGGTCCCAAACACCTATAGGAAAATTTCGTTTCCAGCGAGCCAAACACGACGGATAATGGTGGGAGAGAGTGGGAGAGAGAAGTCGGAAACGCTCACAGCAGTGAGGAGGGCCTCGTTGATTTGCAAATAGTTAGATGCATTCACTCCGATGGGGTGGAGTGAAACCTGCCTTTGGAACTGCATCATCTGCTGGGATATCCGTGGCGGGAGGTCCATGCTGCACTCCTTCGAGATCTGCATCAGTGTGTCTTCCGTCTGGGCGGGGAAGATCATTAGTGGATTGGGCCCTTTGTGGTGATTGGGTGATTTCAAATACTCCATTTATTTTGGAATTCAGGAAATCAGAGATCACAGGAGGGAAGTCTTATCTCAATTTCTCATAAGGAAGTTTCTGCTTATAGATAAAGATTTGAGACTTGAGAAGCACCTTGAGCACGCTTTCTGCTGAAGAGAGCTGGGATAGTAACATTTTAACGTGGGGTAAAGAGAAGGGGAGAGGGGCAGGGGACTGTGACTATTGAAGTGGCCACAAATATTTTCACACTTACTAATTTGCTTTCATGGGAAAGAAAACCTAAACGGTACCATTTGCTTTGCCTTCGTTTTTAGGTTTAAAAAGTGAGGGGGAAATGTGCCTAGAATTGGGAGTGGGGATCCCTTATGTATTCTGGTGGTTCCAGTTTGCTGCGGAAGCCAATTGCTCCTATACTGTAGATTCCCCAAAGCCAATTGACTGGAACCAATCATGTTCGTATAATTGCTCCTAGAATTGGGAGTGGGGATCCCTTATGTATTCTGGTGGTTCCAGTTTCCGGCGGAAGCCAATTGCTCCTATACTGTAGATTCCCCAAAGCCAATTGACTGGAACCAATCATGTTCGTATAATTGCCTAGAGCGTCGATGTTCTCTCGTACCCACGGAAAAAAAACCTTCATTCTCCTCTACCGCGCAAACCACGACGAAAACTGTCAGAAACCGGTCCGCCTCGTTCTCCACCTACCTCCGTCCCGACCCGTCCACCGGCCCTGGCCACGAAGACGAGGAGGAAGACGAGACTCGCGACAGAGGAAACACTCTCCATGATGGCATTCAGGTTCTGCCTCTCAAAGCCGTCCACCGTCAAGTAAATTCCTGTTGTGATCAGCACGATGGAAAAAACCATTCGGAGCAGGATCGTCGGATGAAACACGCTACTTAGGTAGGCCGCCAGCTCGCAAATCTCCAGGTATTTCCCTCTTCTCTTCTCGATTTCTAAGCAAACATCGATTTCGTCGCAATGAGATTTGGAGGGACTGGGAATCCTCGATACTTTCTCCATTTTCGTTTTCTGAAGGATTTCCTTGAGGATCGCAAGATTCCTGACCGAAATCAGCTCGAGAAATGTGCACAGGTATATGAACATGATGTCGGCAGAGTATGGTGGGCACCAGAGAAACCAAATGAAGACAGCAGAAGAAATGCTTGCAACGTATTTACAAGCTCCCTCACACAAGGAAAATATTTCGAAAGCGCTTAAGACGAACGACCAAATGCCAAACCAAGCGTAGACGAGAGGAAGAAGATATCCAAATCTGCGAAGCCGTCTCACGTCTTCCGCCTCGAAGCCGATTTCCTCCTCCAAGGCTTGAACCCGGTGCAACAACTCGGTCATCTGCTGACCTTTGAAGAGGTTGATGAAATAGGCAATGACGAGAACGAAAATGGTCTGACCCACAGTGATCCTTTCGGCGAGCCGCCCTGTGCTGGTGGGCCCCCAAGCGGGGATGATGTCATCCAGCCCGAACCTCCCTTCCACAGTGCCGTTGGAATACACCCAGTCAACCCGCTCACTGGGGTAGTACAGTACGAGAATGATTATGATGATTGCCGTAGCTAGAACGATCACAAGGAGGATGTATGAGAGGGCATAGAGGAACGCCCAACTGCAACATCTGAAACGCGGGCCGCCCGTCTCGTCGTTGCCCAGGGAGAAAACTCCCTGAAGGGGGAAAGCACCGAATGTCTTCCCCAAAATGGCCAACACTCGAAAGTAATAAAGGGCAAAGGACTTCATGCCGGCAGCAACTAGTCCCTTACCATATCACAGTCCGTCTCCTCCGATGTACGTATATCTCCCTTTATCTTATCCACATTTCTATACCTCTTCATTACTTATTTGCCTTGACAAGATTTTTCAATCAAGTGACGTAACCACACACTGGCAAAAAAATTACCTAATGGGCCTCTTAATGCGTAGGACGATATATGATTTGATTGGTGACATAGAAACGACGTCGCATCGATCGAAAAAGGTGCAGTGCAGTGCAGAAACTTCAGAAGGCGATTGCCATTAAAAAATTACCTAATGGGCCTCTTAATGCGTAGGACGATATCTGATTTGATTGGTGACATAGAAACGACGTCGCATCGATCGAAAAAGGTGCAGTGCAGTGCAGAAACTTCAGAAGGCGATTGCCATGTGTGAACAGACGGCTCTGGGAGATTCTTCTTCATGGTGGGCATGAATGAAATGGGTAACGATTGAATACAGGAGCAATTGGTAATCGAATTTTCAAGCATTGATCGATCCATGTACGAGAGGGGGACCGGAAAGTAATTTCGTTTTTTCTATTAATCACAAATATTTGTTTTTACAATAATTTTTTAGTTTCAATGAATTATATAATGCCCACCTTTATCAAAGACAGTTTCCCATCCTTTTATCAAATTTTCAATTTTTCCTGTTTATAGAAGGAGACTTGTTTCGAGGCGAAGAATTCCGAGGAAGCAGTTTTGATAACAGCAATATTTCTGAAACTCTTGTCACCAAGAAACTGCTGCGGAGAATCGGAATAAATGATAATCTGATGGACTGGGGGGGGGGGGTACAGTAATGTTCTGACCTGTCTCCAATAGCTCAAAGTGTACGTGGCATCATACCGACACCGTCCCATCAAAAGCTCAACAGGACTTTCTGTGGGTGTAACCCTGGTTTTGCTGTCGGAACCGGCTGCTGGCCAGGGGATAGCCACTGGTTCTTCCGCTTGGTGTTGGCATAAAGAACCTATTTCTCATCTTCAGAAACAATTCGCTGAAGAAACCCAAACGCCTTGTCTACTTGTAGGCTCAAAATAATGAATTGAAGAAATCCATTCCACAGTATTGCTCGCATATAGGACGGCATTTTCGCTTGGGAATACACGTATTCCGATCTGGATGGGATTCCTCAGGTTTCGTTATCATACCTGTGGTACTAAGTTACTTGTCAGATTTCTGAGTTATTACAGAAATGAATTAACATGGCAAAGAATTCTAGTGAATGCGTCACTTTCAAAATGCTTCAGCCCCAACGTCTGGTGGTCACGACAGGCATATGAAAGGAGCAAATAGCATCGTAAAACACTGTACAGTAGGGTAAGTAATGTCATGAAACATGTGAACCTCGGAGACCTACAGTACAGGATTGGGACTTGGTGCACGTTGATACGAGATGTCATTGTGCCGGGAAGATGAAGTAATTTCGAATGTGTTACGTACCAGAACATGTCAACTCCATTTGTGAAGCCATGATTCTACAGGACATGGAGATTGCCCATGGACAGAGTCAATAGAAGTACTTATATTGTATGGTATCTTTCGTCACACAATATATCTTTGCTTTGGCAAGGTACGGCTCTGATCTTTCATTACGCGGCTTTATCGACATGCACTGGGATTGAATATGACTAATGCAGATTCCGGAGTGAAGCCGACACGTCCTTCACTCGATTATTTATCGGTTTTCCGAACCTGGAAGATACAGGAAGGAAACATGTGGCTCCACAAAGAAAGAATGAAGACGATCAAAAGCCATTCAATCCTTTATTGGACATTCGATGAGACAGAAACAAGGGAGCTAGAGTCGCTGCCGAGAGTCGCATCTGTGTCCGTAAGTTCCTGTATCCGGAATTGCAGCAGAACGACCAAATACGTCACAATTGTTCCAAAGACCTACAGAGGAAAAAAGACCTAATGTGAAGTCTTGTGGTTGTGTTGTCGAATTCAGTCTGATTGCCATAAATAGGTCGATTATTGCTGTGCTTTTTTATATACGACTTTTCCCTTTTCTTCACGAGTGAAACACCAGGTATGACGAACGAACTCACAGAAGTCATGACTCCCTTGTCGAGAGTGAAATACTCAGAAGCCGTGAGCTTCACCGGATGGGAAGACATCTGCAACTCGAACAAGATCATCTGAGCCAAGAGAGAAAGATATTTTGAGAAAAAACAAAACATCAAGTCCGCTGCTGAGAGAGGACTGAGATTCGGCTCGCGGGGCGCGAGGATGTACCTGCTGGGAAAGGCGGTCGGACAACTGGGTACCGCTGGTCGTTGAGATCTCCTTCAGAATCGCCTGCGTCTGAACGAATCGAAAGCATTGTAATGGTTCTTTTTTCTGATGGAACCGCCATCAAAACAGCAGTGCGGGGTACTAGAGAACTAGATGTAAAAATCAATCTAGTTTTCATCATGAAGAAACCTTCCGATAGTATTTCAGAAGATCAACACTTCCTTCGTGAAATTTGAGGGACTATTGCCCTGACTCAAAGTCTAAATGTGCCTTTATTGAAGTCTTCCGAGAGGAATTAGGAAGGGGAATGAATAGAATGTGACCTTGGAGTGGAACCGCTTTGTTGTCATCGTTTCCTGAAAGGAAGCTCTCCCAATTTGCTATTGAGCTTGAATATTACCAAGGAAATCAACGTTGTTCATTTGAAAGTATTATGTTGTGGTATCTTGTTTCCATGAATGGTTGCCCATTCTCGGTCCTGAAAACTGGAAACCCAGCTGTCGACCAATAAATTTGCATATCGTAACTTCCCATTATTATTAATGACCCTTCACCGCAAAGGCAACACCCCTAATGCATTCCTTAAGGTTACGCTGGAAAAAGGCCTCTTCCCCCCTCATAGTACCCACGCCTGGGTAGCCAACACGGATTCACCTGCCATCTTCTCACTTCTTATGGAATGAATCTTTCTCTTCCTCGTCTGATGAGTTCGCGTACGAAACGCTCGATCTCGAGTTCTAAATCAACAAATCGCCATTAATGGGAGCGGCCAGAGACAAAGCATGAATCGTCTACCAACGAGAGCTTCGTCTTCAGGTACATAGGGTAACACCGATAAGAGGCTCGTTTGCAGATGGATTCTCACGGATATAATGGAGTTCCATGGTGAAACCTGGGATGCATTCGTTTATTTTAGCTAGCTGAAGGAATGACGTCCCGATTAACGAGATGGATGACGTTATTGCCCAATCAGTTGACACTCACTCCCTCAACTTCCCTGCAGATAAGGAAATGGCATCTATTGCATATGGATCGTCTCAGCCGCCTTCCCCCGAAACGCGAAAGAGTAGCTGGGACGAGGCAATGGAAGCCAAACAAGGAATAACGAAGTAGTTATAAAGTGGTAACGAAGTAGTTATGAAGTGGTAATGAAGTAGTAATGAAGAGGTAATTGAAGCCTATGAGCGCCCAAAAGTGGATGCTCGCAGAAAGAAAAAATTGCTCGGTCGTTTTCGTCCACGGCTCTCCAACAAAAAATAACTGAAGGTCGGTCGATGAGCTACGTTTCGCATAAACTGGCATTCGGGCCGCATTGTATATGTTTCACATAAATCGGCTATCAACCGGCCTACGTATAAATCAGTCGTTCAATACTATTTATTTTCTACTACCCTGCCCAGCTATCATTCGTAACTTCGGGCGAAATCGAGCAGGTCGACTCAACTTGACATAAAGATTTTAAAATGTGTTTCCCTGTCAACGTACACTTCCTTCCCAGTTTCAAAGTACCAATCGGGGTACTTCTTTACCTTTTTAGTCATCGGACCTGTGTCCTCACTCCGCACCCGTCCTTTCCCGGGGTCCTAAGCCCACTTCACGAAGGATATTTCGTTTGAGACGTTGCTGCTCTGACGGGTGTCAATGCTTCTTCGATCAACAATATTGTCTGCAACTGTCCACGTCTGCTATACTAACGTAAAAACGCGCCGTTCTATCCACCTTATCGTCACTGTTCTAGGTTATGGCGGTGCGCTCGAGAAACTCAACGAGAGCTCTACCAGAGAATGCAGCTTCATTCCAGAGACCTTCACGCGGGAACCAGATGGAATGCCCTTCGATAAAAAAGGACCGAGCCACCGATCCCTGCATTACGCCCGAAAGTAACAATTTCATTTTAAAAATAAAGAAGGCGGAAAAGAGGCAAGCCAATTTTTTTTTCCCCTAAGTTGATACGTTGTCGATGAGATTCTTCGAATCAGAAACTATTATCGCAATGGTCACTGTCTGCATAACAACCTGAAAAAAATTGAAAAGCTCCGCAATGAAGGGTATCTTTATACCGTAGAAAGGCGAAGTCTGAATAAGATAGCATGGCGATGTGAACCACGAAGCTGTAAATATGCAAAGAAGAAACGACGGAGTCGCCAATTCACACGCTGATCGCAATCACGCACCCAGTTCTGAAAGCGTCCGATGGGCAAATGGGAGCGCTTGGGACCTGGAAGCCATCGATCAAAATTCTCAAGAACCCACGTGTAGACTTGTGCAAGCAGCATCTGTTCTTGTAATGCCCTTGTAATGCCCTCGTGACAAGGAGAGTACGACGACCGGTGTCTGTGACGAAATGGCGCAACGCTCAGAATTGCACGCGACGAAACGTCCGCCGACCATTTTAGCCGCGACGAAAGGCGCCGTTCACGCGATGGCACTTGGTTTCATCCACATCGACATCGAAGCCATTTAGATTTCTTTGCATGTTTCGGTGTGAGATTGCAGTCATGCGAACAATAACGAAACGGTATTGAAAGTTCTCCAGCGGAAAGGTCAGAAGCGAGGATGACGATCGCACATGTCGAGTCTGACTGGATTTTGAATGTAGATTCATGCGTCCTTCCTCGATTCTTTCTTGCATCCTTCCGACCTGCTAATCTAGTTTTCATCATGAAGAAACCTTCCGATAGTATTTCAGAAGATCAACACTTCCTTCGTGAAATTTGAGGGACTATTGCCCTGACTCAAAGTCTAAATGTGCCTTTATTGAAGTCTTCCGAGAAGAATTAGGAAGGGGAATGAATAGAATGTGACCTTGGAGTGGAACCGCTTTGTTGTCATCGTTTCCTGAAAGGAAGCTCTCCCAATTTGCTATTGAGCTTGAACATTACCAAGGAAATCAACGTTGTTCTTTTGAAAGTATTATGTTGTGGTATCTTGTTTCCATGAATGGTTGCCCATTCTCGGTCCTGAAAACTGGAAACCCAGCTTTCGACCAATAAATTTGCATTTCGTAACTTCCCATTATTATTAATTACCCTTCACCGCAAAGGCAACACCCCTAATGCATTCCTTAAGGTTATGCTGGTAAAAGGCCTCCTTCCCCCTCATAGTACCCACGCCTGGCGCGACAGCCACGTCCCGCCGCACCATCTCCTAACTCGCGGCGTCCCCAACACTGCGACTCTCCTTTGCAATAGGTACGCCGATGATCGTCATTGCGACTCTCTTTGCCTCGTGCTCGGCAATGTTCTCCTCGGTGATCTAAGAAGTGACTAAGCAATAATAATTTTAAAAAATTTGAAGCACGTTGCACCTTCTCTCTCCCCTACATCGTTCCCTGGAAAGGGTAATGCCCCTCATCAAATTCTTACTTTTCCAATAATAGTTCCTTTCGGTGCGCTTAACCGAAAGAGATTCATGTGATTACAGAATACTCCACATGGTAGTCAAACATCGGCCATGGACAAGCGAGGAATCCCGTGTTTGACCTCATGTAACGGACCTTCCTCACGACACTTCCAATATCGGCTATCCGAAGTTCCTGCTTTCCACCATGATAGCTTTGCTCTCACCTGCTGCGATGGACTTAAACGAGACGTCAAGTCGTCCTTGGTCAGCACAATACTCTCCTACGTTCCGCAAATCGCATGGGAGAGCTATATCTTCTCATGTATTGCAGCGTTTATGCGGTTTGAATGCAGATGAGTACGTAGAATCCACGTCAGAGGATATTAATTCTCCACCATTGAAAAAGGAAAAATGTTGATGACGGTTGAAACCTTCTCGAGCACGAAAGATTAAATTTGGTCCATCAAGGGAGAGACGTCCCGGAATACCTGCAAATTTGGCTTCGACATTCGGTATGGCTAGTAAAACTGTATTTTGTGCATTTACATTTTGTGCATACACTGTATATGTACAGAATTTCCCAGAAACGGCTGAACATAGAGGGTTTCGACATGAGGCTGAACATAGAGGGCTCTGACCTAGGCCTCTGCTACCTTAACCTAAAGCGCGAGGTCCACGTATTTATGCCTTTTTTAGACCATAGGCTAGACGGAAGGGCTTATGCTCAATCAATTCTAGGCCATACCGCATATGTCGTGTGCAATTTGGAATCGCATAGAATATATAATACAAGTTGAATCTGTCACGTCAGTCCGTCTATGTTAACTTGCATGCCTTACTTGGCGTGCAAATTGACCTACACAAAGGCCTTTCGTGTAAGTACATGAATAACACCTTAGCACGCTTTAGGATATCCAGATAGCCGATTCATTTTCGAGATTAATCGCTGAGGGCGTGGCCTTGGCCTTGGGAAAACGATAAGAGGAGGGGGTTCTACCCTCACTTTCACTTCGACTAACAGAACAATGTGATGGAAGGATTTAAGCATTCTCGTTCTTAATCCATTTGCATCCACAAGCGTATTGGCACGCATCATGTATTTTCCCCCTTGCTTGTGGCCTAGATAGGCAATGGCTGGTTGGTGTTGGGCTAAGGCAGCAGCATTCTAGACCAGAGAGGTCGAGAAGTTCCTGCAGAATGGTTTAACCTTTGCTTGAGATTTTCGGGGGATATATCCGCCTTTCGATTCGTAATAGCGAATTTCATTTTATTCAGGAGTGTAATTGATCGATCCAGTTCGTGTTGTCTGGCGGGCTTGTCCGAAAAAGAAGCGGAAAAAGATCGCAATCATGGCCCAAATATAAGTATAGTGTGGGGAGCGCTTTTCTCGTTTTCACTGCCAACACTGAAAAAAAATAAATAATCATACCTGCGACGCGATTTTCCCGGCAACCACCGCGACGTACCCCATGCGGAACAGCGCCGCGAACCCACTGCTGAACCCACGGAAGCAGAAGGTCCAGTCCTCCCGGAGGATGGCCGCAGTCCCGTGGTAGAGCATGACCGTCACCATCACCGAGTTGCAAAGGAAGTTGAGGAGGAGACCTGGACTGTGGAGGTCGCTTAGGGAGTCGGCCAGAGACGATACCTCCAGGAAAAGAGTCCGGGCCTCTTCGACGCTGCTCTGGACTTCGATGTCTGTGTCCTGGACGATCATCGTTGAGATTTTCTTCTGGGAGAAGGTGAGGGTCGAAACGGGGACGTCTCGCTTTGCCGCCAAGTGTAACTTGAGTTCATTAGACAGTTTATCGAGCAAGTGGACACTGTAAATGCGGAGGACATGGCATAAGTAGACGAAGATCAGTTCCGAAATGAAGGAAGCCACGAGGAGGACGTAGAAAAAGAAGCTTCCTGTCACGAACATGACTTCTTTTACGAGCGAACTATCATGGAAAACGACGTCCAGAGAAGTCGCCAGGGCGACAATCAGGAAGATAATTGCGCAGTAAGAGAACATGAAGCCGCCAACACGCTTCAAGGATCGACCCTCCTTGGCATCCAAGCCGATCCGCTCCTCCATCCACCGCACGCGTTCGAGAAACGCAGGATACCTGCTCACGTTAATCCACATCCCGAGATACGAAACGATAAAGGAGGCGATCACTATTCCGATCATGCATTTTGTCGCGATATCGTCCGCCACCGTTGAAGACAAGTCCAAGTAGTTCGACTTCATAATCATGGCGAAGGTGCAGCCCATCATGCATGGCAAGAAGAGGACGCTGTAGAATGTCGCCGCGCTCAACGCTCTGAACTGCAAGACATCCTCGCTTTCATGTCCCACACTGTGCACGTTTCTCAGCGGGAAGAGCCCGAGAATTTTGGCAACGTATAGGAAAGGCCGAAGCCAAGCCAACACGGATTCACCTGCCATCTTCTCACTTCTTATGGAACGAATCTTTCTCTTCCTCGTCTGAGTTCGCGTACGAAACGCTCGATCTCGAGTTCTAAATCAACAAATCGCCATTAATGGGAGCGCCCAGAGACAAAGCATGAATTGTCTACCAACGAGAGCTTCGTCATCAGGTACATAGGGTAACACCGATAAGAGGCTCGTTTGTAGATGGATTCTCATGGATATAATAGAGTTCCATGGTGAAACCTGGGATGCATTCGTTTTATTTTAGCCAGCTGAAGGAATGACGTCCCGATTAACGAGATGGATGACGTTATTGCCCAATCAGTTGACACTCACTCCCTCAACTTCCCTGCAGATAAGGAAATGGCATCTATTGCATATAGATAGTCTCAGCCGCCTTCCCCCGAAACGCGGAAGAGTAGCAGGGACGAGGCGATGGAAGCCAAACAGGGAGTAATGAAGTAGTAATGACGTGGTAATTGAAGTAGAATGAAGTGGTAATTGAAGCCTATGAGCGCCCAAAACTGGATGCTCGCAGAGAGAAAAAATTACTCGGTCGTTCTCGTCCATGGCTCTCCAAAAAAAAAAAAACTGAAGGTCGGTCGATGAGCTACGTTTCGTATAAACTGGCATTTGGGCCGCATTGTATATGTTTCACATAAATCGGCTATCAACCGGCCTACGTACAAATCAGTCGTTCAATACTATTTATTTTCTACTACCCTGCCCAGCTATCATTCGTAACTTCGGGCGAAAGCGAGCAGGTCGACTCAACTTGACATAAAGATTTTAAAATGTGTTTCCCTGTCAACGTACACTTCCTTGCCTGTTTCAAAGCACCATTTGGGGTACTTCTCTTCCTTTTTAGTCATCTGACCTGTGTCCTCTTCCGCACCTGTCCGTTCCCGGGGTCCTAAGCCCACTTCACGAAGGATATTTCGTTTGAGATGTTGCTGCTCTGACGGGTGTCAATGCTTCTTCGATCAACAATATTGTCTGCAATTGTCCACGTCAGCTATACTAACGTAAAAACGCGCCGTTCTATCCACCTTATCGTCACTGTTCTAGATTATGGCGGTGCGATCGAGAAACTCAACAAGAGATGTACCAGATAATGCAGCTTTATTCCAGGGAAAATGCATGATATTTCCTGGGAATTGGGCAGCATTATCGGATAGTTCTCTGTTCAAAAATCCACCCTAAAATTTTTTTTCGAAAGAAAGCGACATTTCGGCAAGGGTGTGCTTGAGGCGTGATTCTTTCCTTGCTTCCTTTATACGTGTCAGGTCCGGAAGTGCTTGTGTTCATTAAAAATTTTTTAAAATGGTTTTGGCAACAAGTACCTTCAGATTCCTTTGCGTTTCATTCGAATTTTCATGCTCTCAGAGCTTCACAATGGAACACATACAAATCCCTATCGAAGAAAATTCTTCACAATAAAGAAATTGAATTCTGCGGCCCATGTAAAGGACTGAAAACCCATGGAACAGACGACAATCCGTTGGTCGCTGCATAATCGGCAATTAAATTATGAAGGATGATTAAACTCTTAGTGCAGGATGAGGATTTACGATGCGGGATGGCATGATGAGGACGAGATGAAGCAATTTTTGAATGGAATTACTTACTTAAACATAGTAACGCTGTTTATGTGATTATGATTTCACAGACCATGGGATCGACAAGGGACAAAGTGAAAAGAAACAAATTTTTAGATTACTTTATTTCTTTGCATCACACTTGAGGCGATTTCTTGATTTCCATTTTGCACCTTTCAGGGTGATGAAACAGCTAAGCAAGCTATGGTGAGGGTCATATAAAAAAAAAAAAAACATGGAAAGACGTTGTAAAGGTATTGTACGGTCCCAGTTTTTCTGCTGCATAGACAAAGCTCAGTGATTCTGTTCACCTCTGCTCTATCGTGATGCACTCTGGACTGAATATAAATGATGCAGATTTACTGAGAGATGCCGACAAGTCCTTCACTCGATCATTTATTGGTTCTTATAAACCCGCACGACACAGGAAGGAAACAGGTGGCTTCACAGAGAAAACAATCATGAAGACGACCAAAAGCCATTCCATCCTTTATGGAACATTCGATGAGACAGATGCAAGGGAGCTGGAGTTGCTGAGAGTCATAGCTGGGTCGACGTCCATAACTTCCTGGATTCGGAATTGCAGCAGGACGACCAAATACGTGACAATCGTTCCGAAGACCTACAAAGAAAAAAAGACCAAATGGGAAAATCAAGGATTTCTTTGTCAAGTTTCGTCTAATTGCCGAAAATTTCTCGAATGATGTCATGCCGCGTAGCTCTTCTTCGTGACTTTTCCAAGCTGCAAGGACATTCAAAGAAGGAGACATCAGGCAGGATGGATAGACTCACGGAAGTCATGATTCCCTTGTCGAGCGTGAAATAGTCGGAAGCCGTGAGCTTCACCGGATGGGAAGACACTTCCAACTCGAACAAGATCATCTGCGCCGAGAGAAAAAATCCCTTTTGAGGAAAGACATCATTCAGTCCGCAGCCGAGCGAGAAGTGCGGTCAGGCTCGCGGGGAGCGAGGATGTACCTCTGGGGAGGGCCTGCCGGGCGACTGGGCGCTGTTGATCGTGGAGATCTCCTTCAGCTTCGCCTGCGTCTGCACGAGTTCAAAGCATCGCAATGGTTTGCTTCTCTGATGGTGTCGTTATGCAGATACCAATGCAAAAATAAGTCTAATTTTCACTATTCACGTTGAACAATAGAAATTCCATCGGAATGTTTTCGTTCTCTTCGGAAAATTCAATTGACCATTTCCCTGAGACGATGTCGAAATGTGCCTCCACGGAAATCCTCATTGAATGGAAGAAGTTAGAGGAATGAATTCAATTTAACCTTAGAGTATTACAGACTTGAGTGGTCATCGTTTCCATGAAACAAAATAAGAGGCAGCTATGCAAAAATGCTATTTTGAACAGTAGGAAATCGATGGCATTCGTCTGATATTATCATGCTGTGGTATTTTTTCCAGTGATGACAGTCATGAAAGTAGAAACTCACGTTCAGACTTAGCAAGATATGCTTCATTTGGCGTTCACTTTAGGATCTCGTACATGTATCTGATTACTCGACCAGATCTCATTGTGTGCACTGTGCGCCTGGCATTGAGCTATGGAAAACTATTAGGGAGATTCTTCTATCCCTTTTACTCGGAATGTCAGATCCTCTTTCTCACATTGTTCAGTGTATGAGAGCGTTCTCTATCTCCAGAAGCAGTTCTTCTGGCTATCGTGCGAATTTCCCGCCTTGGGATTCGCAATAACGAGTTTCATTTTTTTCACAGCACGAGTATGAACCCAGCCTTGTGCAAGTACGAACTGCATGGAGAGAGCAATTGGCTTTCGAGATATTGATAGATATATAGTTTCGGGAGCCCTTTTCTCGTCCAGGAGCTTAAACTTTCCCCTACGAACACTGATTAAGAAGGAATAATCGTACCTCCGTACCGATGTTCCCGGCAGCCACAGCGACGTGTCCCATGCGGAAGAGCGAAACGAACCCACTGCCGAACCCATTAAGACAGACGACCCAATCCTTCCTAAGGATGGCAGAAGCCCCGTGGTAGAGCGTGACTGTCGCAATCACCGAGTTGCAGAGGAAGATCAGGAGGAGGCCAGGGCTGTAGAGGCGGCTGAGGGAGTCGGCCAGAGACGATATCTCCAAGAACAGGGCCCGTGCCTCTTGCACGCTGCTCTGGATTTCGGAGTCTGGGTCCGGGATGATCGTCGTTGAGATCTGTTTCTGGGGGACCGGGAGGGTCAACACGGGTACGTCACGCTTTGCGACCAGGTGTAATTTGAGCTTCTTAGACAAATCTTCGAGCACGTGGATAGTGTAAATACGGAGGACATGGCACAAGTAGACGAAGATCAGTTCCGGAGTGAGGGAAGCCACAAGGAGAACGTAGAAAAGGAAGCTTCCCACGATGTGCATAATGTCTTTCATGACCGAATTGTCATAGGAAATGATGTGAAAAGTGACCGTCATGGCAACAATCAGGAAGAAGACCACATGGAAAGAGAGCATATAAGAACCAACGCGCTTCAAGGATCGACCCTCTTCGGCACCCAAGCCGATTCGCATCTCCATTCGACGTACGCGCTCGAGGAACGCCGGATACCTGCTCGCGTTAATCCACATCCCGAGATACGAGAGGATGAAGAAGGCGATCGCCATTACGACCGTGCATTTCGTCGCGATGTCGTCCGCCACCGTTGAAGTCTGGTCGAAGGAGTTCGATATGAAGAGCATGGCGAAGGTGCAGCCCATCATGCATGGCAAGAAGAGGACGCTGTAGACCGTCGCCGCGCTCAACGCTCTGAACTGCAACGCATCCTTACTTTCGTGTCCCACACTGCGCACGTTTTCTAGTGGGAAGAGCCCGAGAATTTTGGCAATGAATAGGAAAGGCCGAAGCCAAGCCAACACGGATTCACCGGCCATCTTCTGTGAAGGGTCTGTCTTGGAAAGAGCAGTAGCACGCTGCTCAAGCACATACTTTGCGGACTAGAGCTCATGATTTAGTTGTGTAGCAGTAATTACTCCCGCCGGTCTCTTTTTCGTCTTTTTCAGACGCAAAGAGGGCTTTGTCATCAAGTAAATAGTCTACAGTCGATAAGAGACCAGTTTGTAGATGTCATCGTATTCTCATTCGTATTACAGAGTCTCATCGTAAAACCTAGTAGGCATTCGATTCTTTTTACCCTGTTGAGGCAATGACGTTTCGACTGACCAGACGAATGACGTTATGGCCAGCGCCGCCGATTCTCATTCCTTCCCGGCCGATCAGATAAATGGCATCAATCCCAACCAGATTTGCTCAGTCTTCTCCTCTGCGACGCGAAAGAGCAGTGGGTGACAGCAGATCGGAGTCGAGGAACATCCACTCGACACTGTGGATGCTTCTAGAGAGAAACAAGTGCGTGTCGTCTCTCGTCGTTGGCTCATGAAACGAAAGTTGAACGATTAATGCATTGGTTAAAGCTAACAAACTGGCATTAGAGCCGCTTTGGCAATTTTATGTGAAACATATACTGTCAACTGACCAGTGCATTAATCGAAAAAAATTGTCTTTGGTAAACTGCTCGTTAACATGGTAGCTTCTGACAAAAGAGAGGTCTGCCTGATTTGTTACCAAGACCTTACTGCTTGCTTTAGTGTCGGTTATGGCATATTTTCTCTCCTGTTTAAAAGTACCGATTGGGGTACTTCTCTACATTCTGAGTCATTTGAACCATGTGTCCCCTCTTCGCCTCCGTGCGTTCTCGGGTCCTAAACCTGCTTTAGGAAGGATATTCCATCTGGGATCAATGCTTCATCAGCCGGTCGCATTCGGTAGGTATCCGCTCCTTCGCCTTCCGTCTCACCATCTGCAGCCTTCTGACGCGAATTTCATCGATGGACGAACGACGATCGAAGGAGTTGGCTTCGACAGGAGTCAACTCTGTTAATCATCTCTCACTTCCCAGTTCCACATACGTAGTTGGACGCGAATGACTTAAAGGCATGTCTCCTGTAAAAGGCGACGCCCACGTTCAGTATGCAAGCTGTTTTCTTTGACGTTTGAGTTCGGAATCATTGCTTAAAAAATGTTGAGCAATTTGTTCTTAACTGTCCCAAGGAAGGTGTGTGAACCACCCTTGTCCTCCCCCTTATTTTCCCACCTTCTCCACCTCTCCCCTCCACCTTTCCTCCCCTTGTATTTGGCAACTCTATTTTCGCACGCGAGAACCAATGGAAATGCTGATCCCACTTACTTTCTTCACTGCTCTCATGTCAGTTACAAATTGGCCTCTTGTAGTTCATTGTCCTCTGTCTCCATAGACAGAGGAGGTCGGTCTCCACTGACTGGTTATAACCCAAAGCGTATTAAAATCATGGGGCTGAAAATGTTGCGTCGATTTTTCCCCCCAAAGGAATGAAGAATATTACAGAATGTCTGAATCTTAATTTCTTTGCTGGGGGGAATGCTCCCTGAGTAGCGGGCGTATTCTCCTGGTATATCCGCTGTATTCTCAATATTTTTTAATTGTACAAATGCTCAGTGTTCAGTGAAATCTCAGTCCTCTCATCTTCCATCACCTCTCCTTTCAATGACCCACCTCCCTTTCAATGACACTCAATCCTTCCATTCTCTCGCTCCAACACCATGATCTTGGTCTTTCCCAAATTTATCTGCAAACCACTCTTCGCGCACATCTCACTTGGCTCATTCTGCATGTCTTGCAGTCCTCATTCGGCATCGGAGAACACTAAAGCAGCGTCTGCCTTCAGCAGCACGCTACACTTTTGCTGGCCTCCCTGCACGCCCGACGCGTAAATGTAAGATTCCCCAATGCAGCTGTCCATAAAGACATTGAACAGACAAGGAGACATAACGCATCCCTGCCGCACCTTTCTCCTAATGCCCGATCCTTCACTTACTTTTACCATTCATACGTACACGTGCCTCGGTGTTCACATTACTCGAGCTGCATTCAGCAACCATTGCTTCACACCGTACCCTACCAATACCTCCAATAGCTTGCTCCTGACCACAATCTCACAGGCCTTCTCAAGGTCCACAAAGACACAGTAGCCAATAGAATATTACTTTGTATCCCTATGTCACAAATGATGATAGGTTTGCCAGACGAGGTGCATTTGGAATCTTTCTTGGTGATGAAGTAGAAGCCATGGTGGCATCTATAAAATTGCACTGAAAGACGTTGAAATGCTCCGGTCTCAGTTTTTACTCTTGCAAGAACAAAGGTCAATGATTCTAATAATCGTTGCTCTAACGTTATGTATTGTGACTTGTCATATCAAGTAACTGATGCAGAATACAGAGTGAGGCCGGCACGACATTAATTCAACAATCTGTCTCCCAACCTGCAAGAGACAGAAAAAAAACTGATGACTCCGAAAAGGAAACATCAAGATTATACACAGACATGCCCTTCGTTTATAAGACATTTGATGAGTCAGAGGCAAGGGAGCTGGAGTTGCTGCCAAGAGTCGCAGCTGGATCTATGCCCATGGCTTCCTCGATTCGGAATTGCATCATTACGACCAAATACGTGACAATCGTTCCAAAGACCTGCAGAGGAAAAAATAGTTCTGATTGTGTTGTCGAATTCTGTCTGATTGCCAAAGGGAGTCAGATATTGTCATGCTGTCTAGCTATTCACATTTCCAAGTTACAATGATATTCCTTTTCTTCCTGAAGGAAACAGCAAGAACGACAAATGAACTCACGGAAGTCATGATTCCCTTGCCGAGCGTGAAATAGTCGGAAGCCGTGAGCTGCACCGGATGGGAAGACATCTGCAACTCGAACAAGATCATCTGTGCCGAGAGAGAAAAGACGGATGGAGGAAAGACATGTCACTCAGTCCACTGGTGGGAGAGGACTGAGATTCGGCTCGCAGGGCGCGAGAATGTACCTGCTGGGAAAGGCGGTCAGACAACTGGGTGCTGCTGGCCGTGATCTCCTTCAGCTTCGCCTGTGTCTGTATAAGTCGGAAGCATCGCAATGGTTTGCATTTCATCATAGTAACAATGCAGGGAGAATGGAGAAATGAGTCTAGTTTTCTTTATAAATGTTGAACTTTTGAAATGTCATCGGAATGTTTTCATTCTCTTCGTAAAATGAAATGGACTATTTCGCTGGCAAAATGTACTAGCATTGACGTATTAAGTTGGCATAATAGCGTTGAATCAAATGCTACTGACTGAGATACTTGACCGGGGCAGAGAGCCTGCAATCTGAGTGGTTCAAATAAACTAAGGTTCGCACAAATGACCCGAGATGCCGCCAAAGCAACAGCTCTGGCGAGTCAAAATCTAATACAACTTTTATTAGTCCCCAACATTTTCCACGTGGTACCAGAACCCACAGACCTATCGGGGGAATACATTCGAATTCTTCTACAAATTCGTCAAAAAGAGCAACACAGACCAAAGAGTTTCCAAAAAAAACTCTTCCTCGGAGGATGGAAGGAGGATTGTTAAAATTCTCAGTTGACGCCATGGTTAGGTTAACTAAAGTGAATTAGACGATTGTTGAGCGCTCCGAGGTTACATTAAATTCGATGTTATAAAGAAACGAAGGAATAGGTTTCATCCAATGCCCTCGTGTTATCGTTGCTCTTCTAGAAAGGACACTTAAACTCTGCTAACCTTTGCTGCAATGCTGGGGGAACGTTGGAAGTAATCATAGCCTCAGAAAGGAATTGTGGGGCCCGGGACAAATCTCTATGTGAGAGCCCCCTTGAATCAATGAAACTGGGGGATGGGGGGGGGGGGGGCATGAGGCCCTGGGCAATTTGCCCCTTTGGCCCCCCCCCCCCTCTCTACGGGCCTGGAATTAATCGTTGCGCTAGCCTTTCCTCAATGCTCAGCCCATGCAAGTCGACTTCAATATCTAATTTTGTGTGGAAGATAACCTACGCAAATAATTTCTGTGGAAATACATAAATTATTTGTCGACGCTTCATGGTATGCAGAAATCCGATTACTTATCCGGATCACTGGTTGTGCGCGAGAATTAAACCTTGGAAAAATAATCAGGGAAATTCCTTCAACTTTTTCCTTCGATTGTTAGATTAATTTTCTCTCACAATGTCCCGTGTGTGAGAGAGCGACTTGTTCCTTCTAAATATTTCATGCATTTTTTCACAGCTACGAGGGGCAACACAGAATATGTAGGAATAGTTGTACCTGCGTACCGATGTTCCCGGCAGCCAACGCCACATGCCCCATCCGGAAGAGCGAAAGGATCCCACTGCCGAACCCACTGAGGCAAATTACCCAGTCCTCTCGAAGGATGGCCGAAGCGCCCTGGTAAATCATAATTGTCGCCATCACTGAGTTGCAGAGGAAGATTAGGAGGAGACCCGGGCTGTGGAGGCCGCTGAGGGAGTCGGCGAGAGACGATATCTCCAAGAACAGGGCCCGTGCCTTTTGCACGCAGATCTGGATCTCAGAGTCAGTGTCCGGAACGATGATCGCTGGGAATTTCTTCTGGGGGAGGGTGAGGGTCGAAGCAGGTACGTCTCGCTTTGCAGCCACGTGTGATTTGAGTTTCCTAGACAGGTCTTCGAGCACGTGAACGCTGAAAATGCGGAGGACATGACACAAGTAAACGAAGATGAGTTCCGGAGTGAGAGAAGCCACGAAGAGTACGTAGAGAAAGAATGTTCCAATCACGTACAAAACAGTTTCTTTGACCGAATTATCATGGAAAATGGAGTTCAGAGAGCACGCCAGGGCGATATTCAGGAAGATGACCATATAGGAAGAAAGCATGAAGCCGCCAACACGCTTCAAGGGTCGACTCTCCTTGTCATTCAAGTCAATTTCCTCTTCCATCCGCCGCACGCGTTTAAGGAACGCTGGATACCTGCTCACGTTTATCCACATCCCGAGATACGAGACAGCGAAGGAGGCGATCATTATCCCGACCATGCATTTCGTCGCGATATCGTCCGCCACCGTTGAGGACAGGTCCAAATAGTTCGACTTCATAATCATGGCGAAGGTGCAGCCCATCATGGATGGCAAGAATAGAACGCTGTAGACCGTCGTCGCACTCAACGCTCTGAACTTCAAAGCACCCTTGCCTTCGTATCCCACACGATGCACATTTTTCACTGGAAAGAGTCCGAGAGTTTTGGCAATGAGGAGGAAAGGCCGAAGCCAAGCCAACACGGATTCACCTGCCATCTTCTCACATCTTGTGG